TCGACCTATAACACCCACGACCTATAACACCCTCGACCTATAACACCCCGACCTATAACACCTCGACCTATAACACCTCGACCTAACACCCTCGACCTATAACACCCCGACCTATAACACCCTCGACCTATAACACCCGACCTATAACACGACCAACACCGACCTATAACACCGACCTATAACACCCGCGACCTATAACACCCACGACCTATAACACCCTCGACCTAAACACCCACGACCTAACACCCGACCTATAACACCCGACCTATAACACCCGACCTAACACCCTGACCTATAACACCGACTATCGACCTATACCCCGACCTATAACACCCTCGACCTATAACACCCACGACCTATAACACCCACGACCTATAACACCCTGACCTATAACACCTCGACCTATAACACCTCGACCTATAACACCTCGACCTATAACACCTCGACCTATAACACCCTCGACCTATAACACCCTCGACCTATAACACCTCGACCTATAACACCCTCGACCTATAACACCTCGACCTATAACACCCTCGACCTATAACACCTCGACCTATAACCCTCGACCTATAACACCCCTGACCTATAACTCGACCTATAACACTGACCTATAACCCGACCTATACCACGACCTATAACACCTCGACCTATAACACCCTCGACCTATAACACCTCGACCTATAACACCTCGACCATAACACCTCGACCTATAACACCTGACCTATAACACCTCGACCTATACCCCTCGACCTATAACACCTCGACCTATAACACCCTCGACCTATAACACTCGACCTATAACACCTCGACCTATAACACCCTCGACCTATAACACCCGACCTATAACACCTCGACCTATAACACCCTCGACCTATAACACCCTCGACCTATAACACCCTCGACCTATAAACCCTCGACCTATAACACCCTCGACCTATAACACCTCGACCTATAACACCTCGACCTATAACACCCTCGACCTATAACACCCTCGACCTATAACACTCGACCTATAACACCTCGACCTATAACACCGACCTATAACACCTCGACCTATAACACCTCGACCTATAACACCCTGACCTATAACACCTCGACCTATAACCCTCGACCTATAACACCCTCGACAAACACCCTCGACCTATAACACCCTCGACCTATAACACCACCTATAACACCTCGACCTATAACACCCTCGACCTATAACACCTCGACCACTGACCTATAACACCTTCGACCTATAACACCTCGACCTATAACACCTCGACCTATAACACCCTGACCTATAACACCCTGACCTATAACACCCTCGACCTATAACACCCTCGACCTATAACACCGACCTATAACACCCTCGACCTATAACACCCCGACCTATAACACCCTCGACCTATAACACCCTCGACCTATAACACCCTCGACCTATAACACCCTCGACCTATAACACCCTCGACCTATATAAGAGTATCATATACCCGTTGACTCATACATAAAACTTGTTTACAATATTTCATCACTGACAACAAAATGCTTTACAATTTATTCAGAGTTACCGTAAGTGGGTTAGTGTGAGAGAGAGAGAGAGAGAGAGAGAGAGAGAGAGAGAGAAATCTATTCCCCATAATACAAAATTGAGGGTAATTTCATGATTCCATTTCAATTATATCTCATTTCAATCAATTTATTTTTATTTCTTCACTTTTTTGCTGTCGAATAAATCATGTTCACGTGAGAGGAAATAAATAACATTCATCACGTCATTGGTGTCTTTGATTTATTCATTTATTCATTAATTTGTATATATATTCAGAGAGGATTTGTGTCATTGTGACCGTATTTTATATGGTAATATTACACTCTAGTGGTGATTGGTGATTCTGTGACGCCCTCTGTGTCTGTCTGTCTGTCTGTCTGTGTCTGCCTGATTGTTTTTTGTCTTTCTTAGCCCTGCTCTCTCTCTCTACCTGCCTTTACCTCTACTGTCCTCTCTCTCCCTCTCTCTTTCTCATGGTCAATAACCTCACAAGAAGAGCACTAATGATCCAAAATTATGGTTGGTCTTCTTCTTCTTCTTCTTCTTCTTCTTCTTCTTCTTCTTCTTCTTCTTTTTTTTCATCTTTCGTTTTTCTTCTTTCATTAATTTTGTTCTTGAATTTCTTCTTATATTTGTTCTCTTGTTGTTTACGAGTCACCGAGTGGTATTAGCATTACTAAATAGAGATGGTAGTGCCAACCTGTTCCCAGCCCAGCACAGCACAGCACAGCACATTACAGCACCAAGGATAACGCAGCATAGCACAAGTAAGAGTACAGCAGAGCATCGTGAAACAGTACAGCAAAGGCACAACATAACACATAGAACAGAACAGCATAGCACAGCACAAGGAACAACACAGCACTAAAACAGCATATCAAGCACCACAGGAGAGAACAGCACAACGCCACCACCCAACCTGACCTTCCTCCACCACACAGACAAACACACACACCTCGTAACATCAACACTAATGCGTACACTAATTACTAAAGCAATTCACGTTGACGTCTGACATTATCGTCAACCTTGGCAACCAGATCAACAACAGACGAGAAGAAAAAATTTATCCGTTCGAATTTTTGTATTTTTTGTGAAAAGAAATACGTCATATATTTCCTTTTCACAAAAATACACATTTTTTCCCCCAACCGTCATGGCCAAGAGAGGACTCAAAAATGATAGTGTGTGTCGTGGTTCACGTTTTTTATGATTTGATTTGATTGGGGAGGATAGGGGGATCGGGGGGGTCGGGGGGAGAGGTCTGGTAGGGGGCGGGTCAGGATAAGGGCTGATTGCAAGTTGGGTCTGGACATGGGAGGTTAGGTTAGGTTAGGTGAGGTTAGGTAATGTAAATAAAATGGTCCCCATAAGCGCGACAGTTACGGGCAGTGTGGCTATAGTACACTGCATTCGGTACTACACTCCATCGCTTTCCTTTCCTCAAAACCTGACTTAATTTATGCTAAGCTACTGTAATTCAAACGACCCTAAATTAAGGTAGGCTAATTTAACCTAAGTTACGGCAAAGAAGCTTTTTATAACCTGACTTAAGCTAACTAAATATTCTTCACAATCTTAACTTACCCATAATTCAACCTATACCTTAACACCTTCTTCTGACATCACTCTAACACTACCTCACACCCTCTCACAATCCTCCACACCCCTCATACCCCCACACCTCCCTCATACCCCCTCCTTCACCTGACGTCACCTCATATTTACCTTTCTTGATGAGTTGTGTCGAGCGAGCAGTGTACTTCTCCAGGGTAACCCGCTTCGAGGCATTATGGACCCAGACGATGGCATCTTCCCCACTGTGGCACTGTGGCATTATCCAACTGTGGCATTATGTCACTGTGGCATTATGGCACTGTGGCATTATGTCACTATGGCATTATGGCACTGTGTCACTGAATAATTGTGGATTTATGTCACTGTAGTACTATGGCACAATGGCACTGTGGCATTATGACACTGTGGCATTATCGCACTGTGGCATTATGGCACTGTGGCATTATGGCACTATGGTATTGTGGCACTTGCATTATGTCACTATGGCATTATGGCACTGTGGATTGTGGCATTGTGGCACTGTGGCATTATGGCACTGTGGCACTGGAGGCATTATGGCACTGTGGCATTATGGCACTGTGGCATTATGGCATTGTGGCACTGTGGCATTATGGCACTGTGCACTGGCATTATGGCACCGGCATTTGATGTGGCTTTATGGCACTGTGGCATTATGGCACGGCACTGTGGCTTTGGCGTGTGGCACTGTGGCATTATGGCATTGTGGCACCAGGCATTATGGCACTGTGGCATTGTGGCATTATGGCATCGGCATTATGGCATCTGGCACTGTGGCATTATGGCACTGTGCTTGGTACGTTATGGCACTGTGGCATTATGGCATTGTGGCATTATGGCACTGTGGCATTATGGCACTGTGGCACTGTGGCACTGTGGATTATGGCACTGTGGGCATTATGGCACTGTGGCACTGGTGGCATTATGGCACTGTGGCATTATGGCACTGTGGCATTATGGCACTGGGGCATTGTGGCATTATGCACTGTGCATTATGGCACTGTGGCATTATGGCACTGTGGCACTGTGGCATTATGGCACTGTGGCTTTATGGCACTGTGGCATTATGGCACTGTGGCACTGTGGCATTATGGCACTGTGCATTTATGGCACTGTGGCATTATGGCATTGTGGCACTGTGGCATTATGGCATTGTGGCACTGTGGCATTATGGCACTGTGGCACTGTATATGGCACAGGCTTTATGGCACTGTGGCATTATGGCATTGTGGCACTGTGGCATTGTGGCACTGTGGCATTATGGCACTGTGGCTTTATGGCACTGTGGCATTATGGCATTGTGGTGTAATGGGCCCCTGTCTCATCAACAGAACATATTATATAAATGGGTCAATACATCTGATATTATATTCAGATTCACCACCCTGTAACTTTCCACTGTCTATGAGTATGACATGAGTTGTACACGTGAGCGGGCAACTCTCCCAGGAGGGAGTGACCCGTGGTCAGCATATCTGTAAGCCCGCACAGCGAGGCCTCACTCTTTTAGTCACCACAACAACTTATATCGTAATGACGACCAAACGTTTATAAGACATAAACGCCGTCCCTTTCATTCACTCATACAGTGAGACTTACGGTTGATATACACTCAGGAATTATATATACAACTTTTATAATAAAACAAAGGAACTACCGTTTGGGTTTCGTTACTAAACCCAAATAATAGATATATGTGAACGGCCTGATTAATTGCACAAGCAGCCGATTCAGTGGCACTGTGGCATTATGTCACTATGGCATTATGGCACTGTGGCACTGAATAATTGTGGCATTATGTCACTGTAGCACTATGGCATTATGCCACTAAAGCATTAGGATTATGGCACTAAACCATTGTGGCATTATGGCACTGTGGCACTTCGGTATTATGGCACTGTGGCCTTTGTCTCATGGCACTGTGGCACTTCTGGTATTATGGCACTGTGGCACTTTTGGTCTCATGGCACTGTGGTACTATGGCATTATGGTACTGTGACACTTGGTATTATGGCACTGTGGTACTATGGCATTATGGTACTGTGACACTTTTGGCACTATGGTACTATGGCACTGTGGCACTATGGCATTATGGCACTGTGGCACTTCGGTATTATGGTACTGTGGCACTTTGGTATTATGGCACTATGGCACTTTGGTATTATGGCACTATGGCACTATGGCACTGTGACACTATGGTATAATGGCACTGTGGAACTGAAGAATTGTGGCATTATAGCACTGTAGCATTGTGGGACTATAGCACTGAAACATTGTGATACTATGGCACTGTGGGACTGAGACATTAGAGTTCCTAGCCAACTTCCGAGTAAGATGTGGCAGGAAGTTTGCACACTGCCACGACTACAGATGGGTGGTACTCCTCCTTCTGGTGGCGGACATAGCACATAAAAAAGATCGAGATATTTTCGCATTTTCCTGCCGTTAAATTTTATGTTTTCTTTTTAACATTTTAATAAAACTTGGTGTTAAAATTTGGAGTGTGTTTTATCGTTGTCTGTGTGTGTGTTCGTGACTGTTTATGTGTGTGTGTGTGTGTTCGTCGTGACTGTATATGTGTGTGTGACTGTATGTGTGTGTGCCAAATGCGTTTCCCTCCAAATTTTTAGATCAAGAAAAAAAATCTGTAGATAACTTAAGAAAAACGCTGCTGATAGATTAAAACATTTATTACAGTTGTGTTTTAGCCAAGAATCAGCGACCGATCGGTGAACCGTAGCCCATTAGATTAACAGAAGCTTATCAGATCAGTTAGCGTAGGCAGCCATTCAGATCAAATAACCAGAGCAGTCAATAAGACCAATGAGCGTGGGTACCCAATCAGGTGAGCTAGCAGCTAATCAGATCATATAACCGGGCACTCTTGGGGAACTCAGCCACTCATGGAACTCAGCCCTTAGGTCCCTCAACAGGTCTGGGTACCGTGTTATTCTTGAAATTCACTAAAAACAATCCTGGTCAACTGTTTCGTATATTGGGTCTGTGGAAGCTGGTGTGAAATAGGCATAAAACGACTCCCAGATCACAGACAGACAGACAGGCGCTGGAAATCTGTTGTTTCTTTGATGTATCTGTTATTTCTTTGAGGATGGACAACACGGATATTAACCACAACACGACCCGGAATTAAAATTGAAAAACTGTGACCACTGCCAATTTTGGGAGGGGAGGCGTGATGGGTGTTTTATTTAGGGTCCTGCATGAAATTTTGCACACACGCGCAGACACACACAGGCTATCCAAACATACAAACAAGCCCGTGTACACAAAGCGAGTACTCCGAAAACACTAACTACACACACACATATATATTCATGTAAACAAATATAAACAAACGTGTACATTAGCATCAACACACACACACACACACACACACACATATACACACACACTCCGCAGCCAGCAATTCATAATTTCTTTTACCATCATCTCCTCCTCTTCTACCAAGACTATTCAGCTGCTAATTAGATTATTTTCCTCCTCCAGCGACACCTGATAGCAGCTCATAAAAAAAAGGCTCACCTGTTAATAAGAACGCACCCAGCCAACAGACCCACAGAGGTAACGACAGTAGAGGATTGTGCCTGAGACTGCTGAGACAAGATACGTTCTCCGATTTTTTTTTCTCTCCCCAGTTACGAGAGAACGAAATAACTAAACGTCGTGTGTATGAAATCAACATAAGCTACATGACTTTTCCCCGGTTCTGTATACCTCACCCTGACCCCAGCTGCTGAAACTGGTAAAGGCGATTTCACGGATGAAGCATTAGCCACCTGACTGCAAATTTTAATTGAAACTTGTCTTTGATGAAACTCCTCTGAGCTGTTTGGGCGAGGGGCGTGGGGGGAGGGGTGCAAAAACTAAACTTCAAGAAAACCTGTATAAACTCCTTGAAGTATTACGTTGTTCGCAAAATGGATGAGGGCGGGATGTGGTGGGTGGGCGGGATGTGGTAGGCAAAGCGGGATGTGGTGGGCAGGACGGGATGTGGTGGGCAGGACGGGGTTTGGTGGGCAGGACGGGGTGTGGTGGGAAGGGCGACATGACGTCCACGTTTCCATAATATCCGGCTGGCGTCCTCACCGAGGTAATTAAGCCTCGCGGGCCAGGGAGACTCTCGCTATAAATGTGTTTCTCATCAGCTGCAAAAGATGATCGGCTTAGCGAAAGTGATCCGAGAAAATTGGCGAACTTGGGAAGGTGACGTTGGTCTATATTACTAGAGTTTAAAGATGAGAGAGAGAGAGAGAGAGAGAGAGAGAGAGAGAGAGAGAGAGAGAGAGAGAGAGAGAGATCGTAATAAAATATCCCCAAAAGTTTATAAGAGAAAAACATCTCGATAAAATGCCTCTATTTTCGTCTAATGCTTCAACTGTGTGTGTGTGTGTGTGTGCTGTAGAAATTGCTCTTCTCTTAACAACACTCGCCTCCCTAATTGGATTCGAGTATTTTACCTGCCGAACACTTTGAACTACTACTACTACTACTACTACTGCCAAACTTAACGAGTCCAGTGACATCTTTGGTGGAAGTTGTTCAAAGGTTAACGTCAAAAGGACGAGTTGCGTCTGTACTCGCGTAATTACCTCTTTTTTTAATAACCTTCACTGACGCTCGCTTTGACCAATTACCTCCCACCTTCTTACGTAATTTCAAGCAACATCTCAGGCGAAACTCGAACAAGGTCAAAGTGTTAATCTGTTTATGAAGGTCTAATCTTGAACGGGAATCTGAGTCAGTCATGAACTTAAGTCACCTTTGGGTTTATTTATGTATCTTCAACTTTATTTTTAGTCATGATTAAACGAGTATATTAATCAGTGATGGATATAGTCACTTTGGAGTCATATGCTGACAGGTATACAGCATATCGGTTTATGGGGAGTATGCCGCTCGATCTAATAAGTCCTAAGGGTCGCGAGTTCGATCCCGGGGCATCCCACGTTGCTTGTCACCATAACATCAAATTGGGACTTAGAAAAATTCATGATTATTACAATAAATAAATCTCGAATATCGCGTTTATTTTTGGAATGCCTCGCTAAACTAAAGTATATTCTTTCGTTTCTCTTAGAGATCTATTAAATGGAAAAAGAAAAAAAATCGTAAGAAGGTGATGGATGTTTACCTATTTCGCGCCTAAATCCAAATTTCTCTAATTCAAAACCACTGCTACGAGAGTCCAGTCGTTCACACTCACAGGATGGTATAAAACCCAGTCATTCACACAACACATACACGATATGGTTAATATGTAGTAATTGCCAACACCTACTTATATATTGAGTCTCGTATAGGGAGGTAGAGGAAAAATTAGTCTATAGCGTTTCCGACTGAAATTAAAAGTTTGAGTTATTTTTATATGGCAACTACTATATACTGTATTTACCTCAACAATGTTGTTCAAACTGGGCAAGGCTCTAAAGTAGAGGGAAAATGTGGGGTAAAATATTTCAAACACCAAACAAACCTTGGAAAACCTTACCCAACCTTCATCAGCTAAAGCTGTGAAGTGTTTGGGCATAGATTCACACAAAGTTTATCCCATACAAAGAATTTATTTTGTTTATACTGAGTTAACATCTCAGTATACCCTTCCCATTTTAGTTAACTTTCCCTTGACTTTCTCTGATTGTAAGTGATCGGTTTTTACGAAGGTTTCAAATGCTTCACTTCACTGTGAACGAGTGAGTGAGTGAACTGTCTCGAAGCTTCACGACACTTGAGAATGAAGGTGGTGCAGCAGTTGATCATGCTAACTCACAACACCTGGCCTCCTACCTGGCTGGATTACCTCACTTTAGCAGCGGTTAATATTTAGCAGTTGTTATCACCTAATTTACTCGGTTATTAAGGTATAATCCATCGTCTTACATACGAATATGACATTCATTGCCCGAGGAGATGAGCCGTTGTGGCGATATTAAAAAACCTAACCAGAGAAACCAAAAATACCTGACCAAGCTTCCTAGGACCTCTGAACCTCCTGGTGTGTGTGAGACACTTACCTTAATTAAGAGATGCAGAAGGATAGTGATGCCACTTGAATGAGGAAGTAGTGCAGTATGGTGTCCTCGGTCTCTGAGATGTTCCACGTATGGTCATCTACACACGGTACTGACACTCGTATTCACATCTCGGACACTTGACTGGCGACCCGAGAACATCGTGAGTCCTAAAGATGTTGACGGCTAGGGCGGCTTCGGTCTCCAAAACCAACGCGCCAGTCAGTCAGACAAAGTTCAACCTTCACACACAGACGCCATCTTTCAACTGCCTGTTCATCAAGAGTTCAAGAATGAAGCGCATGCGCACGACTATCACGTCACATCAACACTCACGTAAATGTGAGAAAATTAAAATTGAAATATAAAAAAGAAAATAACTCTAATTCCCCTGAAATTCCGTTGTAGCAAAGAAGCTTCGGCATAAAACTACTTTCGTAAATGCGGAATTTAATGGGCGAAGTCGTCTGGAGATGGGTGACAACGGTAGTGTGTGTGGTGGTGGCTTGGGACCCAGTTGAGTGAATTCTGCATTTTTCGGCAAGCTTAAAATCTAAACCAACCATGGAATCTGGTTCTAATCACTCTCATCAAATACGGCATATGCTAGAACACTCACTTGCTCAGGCTTTTTTTACTCACAATGCAGAGAAACTGACCAATATTAAGCTCCGGGGAGTAACTTACGAACGTTGACAACAAACTTCAAGATGTAAGATGAGAATTTCCTTCCTGATGAGTTTACAGGCCCAATCCTCACCTGAGTTTACCTATTGGATCTAAATAAACTGCAGGGGTTGTCTGAAAAATGGCAAATGAAATTCAACACCAGCAAGTGCAGCGTACTTAATATTGGAAGAACAAATACTTATCATGTATACAGCCTTAACAACATCAACCTAGAGAAGTCGACTTGTGAAAGAGACCTAGGGGTACTTGTAAGCCCGGACCTACGGCCTAGAAAACAGTGCGTTAATGTTCGAAATAAGGCAAACAGAGTATTGGGTTTTATATCTAGAAGTGTAAGTAACAAGAGTGCAGAGGTCTTATTGCAACTATATCTTGCGCTAGTTAGGCCGCACCTCGATTATGTGGTTCAGTTCTGGTGCCCCTATTATAGAATGGATATAAATTCACTAGAGTCGGTGCAGCGAAGAATGACAAAAATGATTCCGGGACTTAGAAACCTTCCATATCAGGATAGGTTAAAGAAACTTAACTTGCATTCCCTTGAAAGACAAAGAGTGCGGGGAGATATGATAGAAGTATTTAAGTGGGTGAAAGGAATCAATAAAGGGGATATAGATAAAGTTCTTATAATATCCGAGCAGGATAGGACTCGGAGCAACGGATTCAAATTGGATAAGTTTAGGTTTAGGAGGGAGATAGGAAGAAACTGGTTCACAAATAGGGTGGTGGACGAGTGGAACAAGCTTAGCAACTTTGTAGTAAGTACGGGAACTCTGGAAAGTTTCAAAAGGAGGCTAGATAGATTTATGGATGATAGAGAGTGGTAGTAACTCTCGACAGGAGCTGCCATGCACAGGCCAACCGGCCTATTGCAGACTCCTTATTTTCTTATGTTCTTATGTTCTTATTGTCTGAATTCTGTCACCTGGGGAATGGTTTGAACTCTTTGAGCAACCAGTCAGAGTTTTTTATCACACACATCGTCCGTCTGGCAGTGTTACTCTTGGATCACCTGAAGATTTGCACCCCCTCTCAGTTTATTTTACCTGATGATTAAACACCTTAACGTTACTTGGTTGAGATTACGTTAAGTTAGGTTAAGTTAAGTTAGGTGACAAAATAGCGTTCAGAAGCTCATTCCCATTACTTCACACTGTTTCAAGCTTTATGAAATCAAAGCCTGCAGCGAGAAAGAAATACACGCATCAGTTATATGAGTGAAGTTGGGCTGTTTTATTTTTCACTTCTCACAAAAGACTGAACGGTACAAGATAAACATTTCTGAGTTGTGTCCATCAAAGTCTCATTACGCCAAAACACACGTTGGGTGGAGAATTGGCAACAAGTCTACAGTAATGTTTAATGATGTAGTCGTTGCAGTAATAGCATCAGGAGGTGTTCTGTCCATGAGGATATACACTGAAGTAAACGGAAGTGCAACTGCCATAGAGGAAAGTGTGTGTGTGTGTGTGTACGTGTGAGTGTGTGTGTGTGTGTGTGTGAATGTCTGTGTGTGTGTATTCAATTTCGGATGAGTGTCACTGTGTCTAATATTTGTATGCATGTATATAAGTGTGTATTGCATTGGGAACGCATGATCTGTGTGTGTGTATATTTCCATGTATGTGCAATAATCTACATATTCAACCCCTCCCCCCCCCTCCCCCCACCCCCTCCCTACTCACCCTCTCCCCACCCTCCTCCCCAAAAGCTCGATGTGGTTCGTGGCTTCGTGAGATGTGTTGGTTCCACAACTTTCGCATTTACCGTGTTAGTATATAAGACTCGTATCTATACCACACTAAGCAAATTATCGAGTTAACACTTTTGAAACTTCCTGTGTATCAAAATAAATATTAATTTAAGTTTTTATTCTCACATAATCAACAACAATACGATACACGAGAGAAAAAAAATATCAAGGAATTTCGTCAAGTTTTTCAAATTGTAAAGATGAAAAAAATTACAATACTTCTTTTACGGGGGAGAGGAGGGGGGAACATGTGTATTGTGTATGATAACTTAGGTATATTTCCTCGTATTCTGTATGAACGAATGAATGAATACAACTAGTTAGGAGAAAATTATTGGGTTATGCGTCCCATTTACCTGCGACCCGTTTTCTATGACATGGAAGAAAATCTAATTCCAGGTTTCTGTTCGGAATGACAAGTCTCATTACTGAAGCCTTTGTTAGGTATCAGAGGTCTTATAGTCCTCGGAAGCCCAAGTGTTGAGACCCCAAACCTGATAGACCCTCGTCCATACAGACCCAAGACCTAATTAGTCCTTGTTCTAATAGTCCCCAGTCCTAATAGACCCCAGTCCTAATAGACCCCAGTCCTAATAGACCCCAGTCCTAATAGACCTCAGTCTTAATATATCCCAGTCCTAATAGACCCCAGTCCTAATAGACCTCAGTCTTAATATATCCCAGTCCTAATAGACCTAAGTCCTAATAGACCTCAGTCTTAATATATCCCAGTCCCACAGACCCCAGTCCTAATAGACCCCAGTCCTAATAGACCTAAGTCCTAATAGACCTCAGTCTTAATATATCCCAGTCCTAATAGACCCCAGTCCTAATAGACCCCAGTCCTAATTGACCTAGGTCCTAATAGACCCCAGTCTTAATATATCCCAGTCCTAATAGACCCCAGTCCTAATAGACCCCAGTCATAATAGACCCCAGTCCTAATTGACCTAAGTCCTAATAGACCCCACTCCTAATAGACCCCACTCCTAATAGACCCCACTCCTAATAGGGCGCCCTGGAAGTAAAACCAATGACCCTTAGGAACAGTATATGAGTGCTGTTTCAACTCACCCCCCGCATCCTCTATTCTACCTGTCGATTTTAAGTTGATGACTGTCAATTATCATTCAGTGGACAATGGTTGATTAAAACTGTTATTAAGTATATATAATTTGCTAAGGATAAAATTTACATAAAGTCTTTAGTTAATTTGTTACATTGGTTAATATCAACGTTAAATTCCCTCTCCGCTAACTGCCAGATGAGTTAATGCAATACTAGTTAAACCTCATTTGTTGTTTTAATATATTCAATATCTTCAACAACTCGAACAAGTATTAGTTCATGTGGCGGTAAATAAGTTAGCAATTAAACAAGTAAACAATTATCAAACAAATTATAAAGACCATTAAGGTGAGATACAACTTTGGGAAACTATTTGGAACAGCAACTACTAACTCTATGAATTGTTTGTATGTGTGGCTTTGTTTATTTTGTGGTGACCTTTACAATCCCGGTGGTGGTGTCAGGTAGTCCACTCTCTACTCCTATCCTGACTAGTGTATCTTTGGTTTGGTTAGGTTAGGTTAGGCTACGTCGATTCAACTGTCAATGGATACCTGACTTTTAGTTGAGGAAGTAAATGCGGCGTAGTGCGGTGTCGCGGCCACATCTTGTCCTCAGCGTGATGTAACAGTCTATTATTAATCATTTTATCTGTGAACATTAAAACGTGAAACTCATTTTTAAACTCTAAATAACACTCAAGGCTTTCAACTGTAAACACACAAACTGATTCACTGTCTACTTTCTATACACTCAAATAGTAAGTAATATTCACTGTCTAGGTAACATATTACAAGTAACACGAGTGCATATATCTTCTCTACTATCTACTGGAATTAAGACAGTGAAAGTATTAGTAGAATTATATTAGCATATCTTATTATCACATTGTAAATATAATCTAATGACTTTATTAATCTACAATCTACTTTTCAAGGACATTGATGCATTTTCAGGCGTCTCAATAAGCTAACTTAACCCAACCCAATTAAACCTAACTTAATCTCACCTAACGCTAGCTTAACCTAATCTAACCTAACCTAAGCAGTAAGCACCCCCAGTTAACGTGAAGTAAATTAAGTTGGAGGTGAACTAATCATCAGGTAAATACACACCTGTCCATCATCACCTGTAACATTTTTTTTATCTTTCTTTTTTTCTCGGTAGTGTAGGAACGCTGACGTGTTATGTGTTGTCTATAATTGTCGTAGTGTCCCCAGTCTCGTTACATTCAATACTCTCTCCTGTTTGTTTTTCTCCAGTTTCTTCATTCTTTCCTAGTTTATTTTCTTGTTTCTTATTTACAGTATTTATTTTTGTTTTCATTGTCTGAGTTTCTTGTGATCTTTCTTGATTCTCTTAATTTCTTCTCCCCTGTGTATGTGTGTGTGTGTGTGTGTGTGTGTGTGTGTGTGTGTGTAACCCCAAAGCTGTTTTATGATTGTAGTGAAAATAAAAACTACGAAGATCCTTGACCTGAAGCAACGTTCATGACTTGAGTGAAAGACATCTAGTTTCTCCTTTTTTCCATGGTTGTCTCATGACGATTAAGTTAATGAGTGTTATGACTGTGAAAATTAAGTGGAACAAATATATCGATTGACCAGCATTTTCATGTTTAGGATCCTCACACACACATACACACACACACACACACACACACACACACCCAACATCCCCCACACACACACACATGACTCGACAACTGTCACCACTCTGCATAAATTTACATATTGCCTTCAAAACAGACGTCTGGAAATCAGGGCATAGACCCACCCATTGCTGTGCCTCGAGGGCTGGATGTGTCACAGGGAATACCTAATTCGCGGTGAGTGGAGCCCAAGTTCCCCAGTATTATTTTCCTTGTTTCAGCAGCAGGTAACTGGGTCCTACAGGTTTTGTCAGGAGTTCAGGATCTTCGTCCAACTAGGGTTTTAAACCTGAGATGTGATCTTGAATCCAGAATCTTCGTTCAGTACAAGGAATTTAAACGTATAATCCTCATTTTGGCCTCATGGTTCTGTGATGTAGGTCCTCGTTCAGCAGCAGACCGCTTCCTGGCTCCTCCCAGTGGCCTCCAGAGGACTAAGTACCTCTAATATCATGGAATTCGATAGCCAGTTGGCGCTCAAGGGTTTATTTCTTCACAATGATCTGTTTTGTTCTATGAAGGCTTATTGACCACTACCTTCAGTGGACCCCAGTAGCGCCTGACTCACTATCCTGTTAAAAAAATTTAAATTTACAGTAACTTCTCTGGTTATATTGTTGCCAAACATTTTCTGTATAATTTACAGAGATTATGTATATATTTTTACATAAAATATCTGTTGAATTATAATAATAATTCTGTGGTAAACTAAAATACCGTTATATCTGAAAATTACAACTTCAGAAAGTTTGGATATTCCAAACTCTCCAGCACTATTTTGAATATTAAGATGTTTCTGTTGAAAAAGAAAATATATTTTTTAAAGTGTTTTTTCACCACTTACTAATGCAATTTGTAGCCAAAAAAAAAATAAAATTACAATACACACCATAAAATCCTCCAAAAATATCTTGGATTATTTGTTTCTACAACATCAATTATTTCTTGTTGTCCTGGTTCCTCTGTAAGTATATTATTGGATTGCGAGTTCTACACATTAATTGCTTTCATATATAGGCCATATCTTTCTTGAAAGAAGTTTGGCCTACTTTTAAACAAATGTTAGAATATAACAAAATATATAGGAGCAGAAAATGTAGAGGTGTTGAAAAGACTTTATTGAGTACAATGCCCTTAACAATAATAGAGAAAATAAAATTATGTACTAGAACTTATATTTTTCATGCATATATTGCAGAAAAAATAAATGTAGTAGGAACTTATAACTTGTAAGCATACATTGCATTGAAAACTCTGTTTATAAATGAAAATATTATGGCTCAATATTATAAAATAACTCTAGAAAAATTACTCTTTGAATGATTCTTCCAATTAAATCCTAAGAGAATGAAACACCCTCCAAAAATCACAGAAATTGTTTGCCTTTCTATGGATAATTCTTCTAAGTTTTATATATACTACAGTTGTGTTCTGACCTCACTAGAGGAAAGGTCACAGCTTCAGCGAAAAGAGAGTGAGAAAAGAGAATAACACGCCCAGACAGATAGACAAACATTCTGTAAAATCCGTAGACAAGTTTACAAATGAATCAGCATATAAAGAGACGATGCAGGTATACAGTTCTATTATAGACACACAATACAGATATACAACATACTTAAACCGTGTAGTTATACAGACCAGTATACCATACATCATCTAGACAGTGTTGAGTACTAGAGCTTTGTGTTATTATTTTACTCTACAGTATATACAACTCGCTTGAATGGTGGGAATATTTTGATAAGTGAGGTAAAGTTACGTGTTATCCAGTACACCACTTGTGAGATATAATGTGCAGTATCCCCCAGAGATTAGTGTTCCGTATCCCCCAGAGATTAGTGTTCAGTATCCCCCAGAGATTAGTGTTCCGTATCCCCCAGAGATTAGTGTTCAGTATCCCCCAGAGATTACTGTTCCGTATCCCCCAGAGATTAATGTTCAGTATCCCCCAGAGATTAATGTTCAGTATCCCCCAGAGATTAATGTTCAGTATCCCCCAGAGATTAGTGTTCCGTATCCCCCAGAGATTAGTGTTCCGTATCCCCCAGAGATTAGTGTTCAGTATCCCCCAGAGATTACTGTTCAGTATCCCCCAGAGATTAATGTTCAGTATCCCCCAGAGATTACTGTTCAGTATCCCCCAGAGATTAATGTTCAGTATCCCCCAGAGATTAATGTTCAGTATCCCCCAGAGATTAATGTTCAGTATCCCCCAGAGACGGGTGTACATTATCCCTTTGAGACAAAATACAATATCTCTGTCCCAGTCACTCCCCGTCACTCACGAGAGAGTATGAGAACGGGGGAGAAGCGTCACATCAGAGACCAAGACGTATCGTTCTAGGTGATATGGTCGCTGTCTCACTCATCCAGGTGCTGTGTTCCTTGAGCCACAGAACCAAGACTTGAAGTGTACTGTGCCTTTTTACGTATTTTTCCCCCACTGCAAGGGAGAGTGGGGAAGATGGGGATGGAAAGATGGAAAGAAAGATAAAAGAGGAAGGAAGAGAAAGAAGAAAAAAGGGTAGAGAGAGAGATAGATTGCTAGACAGTAAAAAACAAATGTTACTAGATAAAAATAGAATAAAATGACAACTTCCTTGTGGTCTCCTTGGATGACAAATGTAACACCGCTTTCTAAAACCACACCCAAGGCAGACTCCCAGAATTAGTACGTCGTCAAGTGTAGGCGGCACTGTGAGGGAACTACACTCATATAGATATAATTACCCCGCGTTACAAAAAAATAATGTGGTTTGTGTTTACGAGGTGTGTGGCTTCAACTACTTTATGTTTTTCGTTGCAAACTGGCGAGGCTGGTATGAGGGAATTGGCACTACTGTTGCACTGTGTTGCCACTTGAGAGATGCAAAGGAACAAAATACCAAGGTTTCTAAATTATGATAAATAGTTTGATGTTTTTTTTGTAGAGTATTCTTTACTCAGGGTGAGACATGACACGACTGAGAGCTGGAAATAGTTCTGGAGAGACAGAAATAAAGGAAGAGAAAATATACATGTATATATAAACAGTGTATTGGTATATGGGAGGTAAGAGAGGTGTGGCAGGTTCGTGTGACCAGAGTGTGGCACCACATGGGGGGGGGGGTCACGGCTCTATTAACCTTGTATCTCTTCACAGAGTCTTACGTACCCAGTGTAAGCATCTGAGTATGATAGTTAGGTGTTTCTCTCCCTGGGTACTTTAAATGGGGCCCCGTGAGTGGTTAAGTGAGTGTTTGTTGTGCTGGTTACGCTAGACGCCCTTGCTAAGCTCCTCAATATTCGAGTCGATGATCCAGTCTCGAGTCTTTGGTGGTGACGGCCATGGCGATAAGGTTCTGTGTGAGGTGAAAATAACCTGTAACCCTGAGGCAAGATGTTGGGACACACCCATCATCTCTTGTGTGTTCTCTGCCAGTGACACATACATACATACATATGGACACTATTCAGTATACGTCATGCATGTACATTGTACAGTCGGCCACAGGAATAAGTATACACACTGTAGCTGTAAGGTCCGAAAATGGTCTGGTAACGTTGAATCTGCCCATCCAGACGCATGATGAAACTCAGCTCCCCCCCACCTGTTATCTCTAACTATTTTCTGTTTCCCCTTCTTTATTCTTCTATTTACTCCTCTTTCTTCCTTTTCTAATCCAAACATCAGTAAAAAAAAAGTCGGGTAAGAGAGAAAGTGGGGGAGGAGGAGGGAGCTGTACTATAACTGCAATCCCATTGGGCAACAAGTTTACTACCATTGGATACAATATATTACTTGTTATATAAACACAAGACAATAGTAAAACATTCACAACAAATGTATTTATAACATATCTTTAGGAACAAAACATAAATTACAGGCCATTTTGTAATTTTGTCTGTTCTGTTCAGGACAGTTACAAGATATTTGGTCTCAAACACGAACCGTAGGTGTATACTTATTCTTGTGGCCGACTGTACATTCACGACACACACACGCATATACACATACTGTACACACAAGCACGTACACATATACACCTTGAGTAGACTTCGGGACTTGACCATTGCTACCCTTTTCACCATCAACCATCACAAGACGATGACTATGTACTGTACATTACTCCGTTCCGCCTCCATCTGCCTCACTGGGCTCCAACGCCCTACAGGTTATGAATTTCACTAAACTCTTCGGGGTTACTGTGATCAAATCATCCACCCATCTTTTCCATATCTTCTGTCACCTTCCAAACTAACAATTCCTGTGTTTGAACTTAAAGAATCTATTACAATACTTCCACACCATCACCACAGGCAATTGGACCCCTACCTCGCATTACACCTTCTACTTCCTCACCTCTCCCCTACTCCTCCTCCCCCTCAAGGTTCGGCGAGCCTCCTATATAAGACAGAACCTCCAGCATGAACAGCAGAACACGCGGCTCTCTCCCCCCGACAGCAGCGATGAAGTATTTGGTAAGACCCTCTGTCGCCCGCCCTTATTTGTTGACTCTCCATAGATTGAGTTTATTATAGGCCAAGTCTTCATACATAGATTTTGATGTTTACTAATCTTTATACGTGTATGTATGAGTTTATATGTAGGAAATATGTGTACATACATACACTCATAGCTTACTAAGTTTACATGCAAGCATGCAGTTGGCCTCACCTCTTAGATAGGTTAACTAGACGACGCTCAGAAAAAATAATAGCCAACCTTTTATGTTTTAATGCATCAAAGTATGCAGCATTTAATCACCTCTAGTAAGCCAATGTTTCCGGCACCTTTAGCATTGTATATCCCTATCAGTCTCCTCTTAGCCTAAGCTCCTTTCTGAATTTACCAACTCAAGAGTAACTAAGAACAGTGCAGAGATTTGTTTATAACACTGGCAATAAATCTGATTTTAAGAGTAACCGAGTCAAATACTGCTCTTATTGAGATGGCTGAAAAAGGCCGCCAAAATACTATAAAAACATTGTTTTTTTCTCTGTAATATATCCTATATATGTTCCTCTAAAAAAAATACTCTTCAAGACTTAAGAGTCAATCTTTAACAACTTGTTTATGTTCATCAAGAAAACGAGTTACAACTGTACAGTTAACAAATATTATTGTAATGCTTTTAATTCATCAATACACCTGGAGGCAACGCTAGGCAAGATGAGAAACAGAGAAGTCGTGGCTTATTATATACGTAAGTGTTATGGCAAGACTTGAGGATCTCACCAGAGTGTTGCCTCCCTCTGTTCTCACTAGAGTGTTGCCGCCCTCAGGTTTGCATCAAAGTGTTGCCTCCCTCTGTTCTCACTAGAGTGTTGCCGCCCTCAGGTTTGCATCAAAGTGTTGCCTCCCTCTGTTCTCACTAGAGTGTTGCCTCCCTCTGGTTCTCACCAGAGTGTTGCCTCCCTCTGGATCTCACCAATGTGTTATGTCCCTCAGGTGATCGTGTTTCTGGCGGCTGCCGCTTGCGCTTCTGAAGTGGAGAAGCGAGAGGCGGAGCCTAGTACTGGTTACCATAGTTCTGACTTATACCACCCCTATGGCAGCCATGGTAGCTATAAGAGCTACCACAAGAGGTCTGCCGAGCCTGAGGCAGAACCTTCCTACGGGGTCCATCAGAAATCTAAATATGATCATTCCTCCTACCCACCGTACCACGTCCATCCCTACCACAAGAGGTCTGCCGAGCCTGAGGCAGAACCTTCCTACGGGGTCCATCAGAAATCTAAATATGATCATTCCTCCTACCCACCGTACCACGTCCATCCCTACCACAAGAGGTCTGCCGACCCTGAGGCAGAACCTTCCTACGGGGTCCATCAGAAATCTAAATATGATCATTCCTCCTACCCCCCGTACCACGTCCATCCCTACCACAAGAGGTCTGCCGATGAGGCAGAACCTTCCTACGGGGTCCATCAGAAATCTAAATATGATCATTCCTCCTACCCCCGTACCACGTCCATCCCTACCACAAGAGGTCTGCCGACCCTGAGGCAGAACCTTCCTACGGGGTCCATCAGAAATCTAAATATGATCATTCCTCCTACCCCCCGTACCACGTCCATCCCTACCACAAGAGGTCTGCCGACCCTGAGGCAGAACCTTCCTACGGGGTCCATCAGAAATCTAAATATGATCATTCCTCCTACCCCCCGTACCACGTCCATCCCTACCACAAGAGGTCTGCCGACCCTGAGGCAGAACCTTCCTACGGGGTCCATCAGAAATCTAAATATGATCATTCCTCCTACCCCCCGTACCACGTCCATCCCTACCACAAGAGGTCTGCCGACCCTGAGGCAGAACCTTCCTACGGGGTCCATCAGAAATCTAAATATGATCATTCCTCCTACCCCCCGTACCACGTCCATCCCTACCACAAGAGGTCTGCCGAGCCTGAACCAGAGGCCGACCACAGCTCCAGCTACGTCCCCCAGCCCTTTTACCATCACCCCAACCATCACTATGGTTACCACTAAGCCCGTGACAATGACCACGCCCACCAGCAAGACACCAGGACCCACCTAGACTTCTCCATGATTCTCATATACTCTATGATAGATTAAATTCCCTTATTTCTTCTTTGCGAAATTTTGAAATAAATCGTATTTTGGGATAAGTTCTTTTAATTATGTTTCAAAACCCTATATTATCCTTGACGTCTCAGCATCTACCAGGTATCGGATTTTGTTTTTAATTAATTCGTTCATTCCAGCGAAAATGCCAAAGATGGTGAGTAGAGAAACACCCTCATAGCTACCGCCACCCTGCATAAGTTCACCACGGTCATTGTGTAAAGTTCACGACAGGTTTATGGTTGTGGCTGGATCAGATGTCTTTAACAGACAGACTTTAATAACATTAGCGGCTTTGACGGGCAGGAGCAGTCACAACAAAAAACACATTTTCTGACCAGGACTAACTAATGTATAGTTTATACTTTTGTAAGTCTTGACATCTAACTAAGTTCATAACCATCTTTATTATCATATGTTAACTTTTAAGGAGAAAGTTTCATAACATACACCAAAATAAATAGCAAGTTTATTTTATTAAATAAGTATATAATCTGTAACATTATCACTGTATATAACTCTAAGATGTTGACTATTTATGTATTTCTTGGAATTAGTAGTACAATATCAGGCGTCAGTTTCCAGCTTTACTGTGTGGGAAAATCATCATCGGGTTTTGCTAAGCCGTAACCTCTCCCGTGCTTTAAATTATAACCAATAAAAATACTCCGAGTTCATCTTAATGTCGTCTGTAAATAGATTTATGTTAACCTTTTGTTTTATGACGTACGTACTAGCTTCTGGTGCCGGGATACCTGTAGCTCACTCTTACATGTGTTCAGAGACTCTTGTATTTCACCTCCGAGTCAGGTCGATCTCCTATTAAGTTATATTCACTGTTCAGGAGAGACGGCTGGAGGGGAGGGGAGTATTGGGAGAGGACTATGGTACTGTCAGAATTGGAAGCACTTTTAGTGAAGGACACTGCCACGAGGAGGTGCCTAATAGTGTGCCACTGGTATGATCTGTTGGGCCATGCCAATAAGAACATAAGAACATAAGAACATAAGAAAATAAGTGGTCTGCAATAGGCCGGATGGCCTGTGCATGGCAGCTTCTGTCGAGAGTTACTACCACTCTCTATCATCCATGAATCTATCTAGCCTCCTTTTAAAACTTTCCAGCGTTCCAGCACTTACTACAAAGTTGCTAAGCTTGTTCCACTCGTCCACCACCCTATTTGTGAACCAGTTCCTTCCTATCTCCCTCCTAATCCTAAACAACTTAAATCCGTTGCTTCGAGTCCTATCCTGCTTGGACATGAAGTATTTGGTAAGACCCTTTGTCGCCCGCCTTTGTTTGTTGAGTCTCCATAGATTGAGTTTATTGTTTGCTAAGTCTTCATTCATAGGTTATTTTTTACCTAGTCTCAATACATAAAAACTATTGTTTACTAAATCTCCATTACTTGCTTTTTGTTTACTCAATCCTTATAACTACAATATATTGTTGTTTACGAAGTTTTGGTACATGGAACTTATTATAGGCCAAGTCTTCATATATAGATTTTGATGTTTACTAATATTTATACGTATATGCATGATTTTATAGGTAGAAAATATGTATATATACTGTACATACACATGCAACATACAGCTACCTGAATTCTTCAAACATACATATATACAAATTATAGTTGCGACTAGATCACACTCGTATGACTTTAACGTCAAAAATACTATAAAAACATAGGTTTCTTCTCTGTTTAGATCTTCCTGTAGTTTTGCAGAGTCCTCGTCAGATTTAATTACACGTCCTATTTTGGTGTCATCAGCAAATTTACTTATGTTGCTGTCTATGCCGATATCTATGTCGTTTATGTATGTAATAAATAATAATGATCCAAGTACTGAGCCTTGGGGAACTCTACTTATGACGTTGCTCCAATGGGACTTAGTGCCGTTAATGCTCACTCGCTGTTTCCTGTCCTGTAACCACGCCCTAATCCATTTAAGGATATTACCTTTGATGTCATGTGCTTCTACCTTTCTAATTAGTCTTTCGTGGGGGACTCTGTCGAAGGCTTTGCTAAAGTCGAGATATACCACATCATAATTGTGCCCCTCGTCCACCGATTCGAAAACTGATGAAAAGAATGTTAATAGATTAGTTAGACATGAACGTCCGCTTGTGAAGCCATGCTGGGAATCATTGATCAATCGGTGCTTCTCCAGATGATTTCGAATAGAGTTTGAAATGATTGCTTCCAGTAATTTGCCTACTATTGATGTTAGACTGATTGGACGGGAGTTAGAGGATAGGGATCTATCCCCCTTCTTGAAAATCGGTATTACATTCGCTATCCTCCAGGATTCTGGTACTAAACCTGTTTTTAAGGACATGTTAAACAACTTTGCTGAGGGCATACTAAGCTCTTCCTTACATTCCTTTAATACTGTGGCAAATATCTCATTGGGACCAGGTGACTTATTAGGCTTTAGTTTGTCTATTTGCTTACTAACATCGTTACTAGTCACTACTATCTCGCTTAATTTGTTTTCTTCACTATCTCTGAATAGAGTCGGTGCCCCGGGTATCATGTTTAAATTTTCGGTGGTGAAAACTGTTGAAAAATATTTATTCAAATTATTGCTCATTTCTCCGTCGTTATCAGTGAGCTCGCCGGTGTCTGACGGTATTGGTCCAATCTTTTCTAGTGTTTTAATTTGATACATTTGGTAGAATCCTTTGGGTTTTGTCTTCGCCTCCCTTGCTATCCTTACCTCATTATTCCTCTTGGCTTTCCTTATCTCGGTTTTAACCCTACTCACCAATACCTTATAATAATCCCGGAGGTAAGTTTCGCCACGATTTATCCTTCTACCTATAGCCTTCCTTTGGCCAATGATGTTCTTTAAATAATTATTTATCCATTTAGGGTCATTGTTGTCTGATCTGAGTTTCTTGTATGGTATGTTCTGCCTTTGTGCATGAAGTCACTCATTATTTAAATTGTGGAACTCGGCAATCTCAGATCTCGTTATCAGGTCCGAGTCATTTGTCAGGTTCCTGGCCAAGAGCCACACTCCCTCTCTCAGCTGCCTCTTTAAACTGTCAAAGTTTGCCCTTCTGAAATCTGGTACTTTAGTGGAATTTTCCTTACGTCTGCCCTGAAAATCTAACTGGAATCAAATTTCTTTGTGATGGCTGTTTGCAAGTTCGTTCCCGACCTCGATATTGCTAATGAGGTTTTCTCTGTTTGACAGAACTAAATCGAATATATTATTACCCAGTGTGGGTTCGGTTATATGTTGACTTAGGAAACAGTCCTGGATCGTCTCGAGAAAATCCTCTGATTCTGAGTTACCCGTAAGGTCAGTCCAATCTATTTGGCCAAGGTCAAAATCGCCTACTATACAGACTTTGTTGTGTATGGAAGTCCTGTGCATTTCATCCCAGATAAGTCGCTCATTGACTCTATCAAGATTGGGGGGTCTATATATTACTCCTGTGATTAATTTTTCCCGACCGTCGATTAATTCTATCCAAATTGTTTCTGTATTCCTCTCAGTTTGTATTTTCTTAATTATTTCACACTTCAGGTTATCCCTGACATAGATTGCTACTCCGCCTTCTTTCCTGGTCTGCCTGTCGGTATGGAACAATTTGTAACCTGCAATTTTCTATTCGACAGGTAACTCACGTGAGTCTAGGTTGATCCATGTTTCAGTGAATGCTATTATACCGATTTTTTCGGTACATACCAAGGCCTTAATATCATCCATTTTGTTTCTCATACTTCTACTGTTCGGGTAATAGACATTTAAGTTAGTCGTGTTCTGAGTCCTCCCTTTACCGCGTTTAGATTTAAACTCCCTGTCTAATTTAGTTTTGTCATCATTCATAACATTATTTCCCTGTAATCTTTCACTTTGTTTACCCGCTCCCACTGCATTCTCCTCCACCCCCGTGCGCATATGTTCTCCTAGCAGTTTAAAGACTTCGATATCTTTTGAACTGCCCCCTCTAGAGACCCAGCCAGGGTTGCTACTCCATCCCTAGCATAAAGGTCCCTTCTGCCGTAGAAGTTGTCCCAGTTGTCAATGAATGGGACTGATATTGACTTGCAATATCTGTCAAGACGGTCGTTGACACCAACTGCCCTTGACAACCATTCACGGCCAACTCTCCTTTTAGGCAGGACACCGCATATGATAGGGATCCCTCCCTTAGTTCTAATACGATCTATAGCTGTCTTGAACTTATCAAGAAGCTCCTCACTCCCACACCGGCCTCTTGCACTGAGGCAGATAATGGGTTTGTTCCCATTACCAGACAAGATATTGTCCATCCTGTCAATTATATCCCCCACCCCAGCTCCTGGCAAACACACCCTCATCCTAGATGATAGAGAGTGGTAGTAACTCTCGACAGGAGCTTCCATGCACAGGTCAACCAGCCTATTGCAGACTCCTTATTTTCTTATGTTCATCTTCTTCTTATAGATGTGTGCACCCCTCCTTAATTTCTCTGTGCTCTACCCGAAGTGAAAGAGTTGTTAAATCATAAGTTGCTAGGAGTACCGTGGGTCGGTGGCCAAGTGTCGCGTCACATCCTTTATCTGCTTGGCTTTCCCCAACCTCCTGTCCTCTTCTGCTGCTGTGTCGCCTCTCTCGCTTATCTTAGTAAGTAGCTAGGTGTGAGTGTGTGTGTGTGTGTGTGTGTGTGTGTGTGTGTGTGTGTGTGTGTGTGTGTGTGTGTGTGTGTATAGTGCATATGTAAATGTTATATAATCTGCACTCAATAAACACGTATACAATCAATATAAAGAATTGACTTAAACGAAGAGTCCCCCCCATCTCTCTCTCTCTCTCTCTCTCTCCTTCTCATAAGATATTTTTACCTCTGCGATGCGGCTGCCAAAGGTTGTTTCATGAGGGTTTCTTGTATCTTTATTTCCGATTGTTTTCTTGTTCTGCCCAATGCTTATCCTATTATCTCTCGTCGACTGTCGCCTCCCTCCCTCCACACCCCACTACCCTTTAACGTGAACAAGGTTATAAGTAGTCATTTGCTTGTTTCTCCTGCCTGTGTCCAGCTGGGAGAAGACTAGGAAAATATTAAAACATTCATCCCTGCTTCTCAAAGGTTCGCTCGTTGAATGAATACGCACAATGTTAAGAATTAACTTAATTTATTGAATTTAAACGGAAACAGGTAATGCTAAGAGTCTCCCTGTGTATTTTTTATATTTCTACGTTTTTTGTTGCGTTTTACCGTAAGTGAACCAGTGCCTCCGTTCATAGATCTCCAGTTAGAAGGATTATACATTATATGAACCTTTGAGACACAGGACCCTAAGCACTCTGGGGTGGCTTACCTCGTGACGTAGTCGACAAACAGGTGAGGGAGGCTCAGCGTGGTTAGTAGAGACAGGAAGCCACTAGCCAGCCAGTGTACGAGTCCCTTGTGGTTATGACCTGACGTGTGTACCTCCCTGCAGTTGTCTCCATGTCTTCTTTACTATTGAGGTAAGAAGATGTACACACTTGAGTTTTAAAATTTTTACTTATTGTATGCTGTGTGTGTGTGTGTGTGCTCTCACTGCCGGGTAGTTATGGGAAGTGTGACATAGTTTCTGGGCCATATCTGACTAAACCAATAATGACGACAGGTAGAATGAGCCTTACCTAACCTAAGTTTCTCATTATATAGTTGTTAATTAACTTAGCTAACATAAACTAATAATCCTACAATCATTTTTCTGTTAAGTGAATTCCGTTAGGTTAGGTTAGGGTACGGTAGGTTAGGTTAGGTTAGGTTAGAGTAGACATCGTGTACTGTGGATAGAGTAGACATAGGGTACTGTGGATAGAGCAGAAATATGATCTTATGGATGACAAAGACAGATGTTTGTAATGCTGTCTTCGCAGGTGTTGAGTGAAGGGTGGGAACTTCAGTGTCGTCAAGATGGTCGACGCTCTCCTACTTGTCTGCCTCCAAGGTGAGTGTTGATGCTGTCCTGTTGTTTGTACGTGTTCACACCTGCTGCTAACCAAGTCTCTATCTTTTATCAATATTTCTATGTTAAAATACGTCTCATATATATATATATATATATATATATATATATATATATATATATATATATATATATATATATATATATATATATATATATATATATCTGAAGATGCCTCTGAAGATGTCTTGAATAAAGACGAAAGCTAAGGTACTCCGTTGTTTCCCTTTTCCCGTGTGATTTTATCAAGATTTATCTTATCCACGTTTTCATTGTGGGTCTACATGAAATATATATATATATATATATATATATATATATATATATATATATATATATATATATATATATATATATATACAGTATGTGTGTGTGTGTGTGTAATATCAAGCCTCTAATTCATGTTTATGTAATGGTGATGTGTATTGTTGTGTACATTACCAGTATAGTAGCGAGTAAATTGTTGTTTCAGTGATTTGTTTATATTGCAGTGGTAGCATTGGGTGTGGCTTCCTCTCTTCACTTCCACGATACCCCACCACTACCGTAAGTGTCTCCTACCTTGAACTAGAAAGTTTTAATTGGTGAGTATTAAAAGGTATAATATATATTTACCTTCATCTATGCCAGGGGTGGGCAATTATTTTTGATGGAGGGCCACTTCATGAATGGTGGCACACTTCGCGGGCCACAGGTTAACAGCGACGAGCCAGTATTGCTGCTATGTCCACCCAACTTCCAAAATTGTCCTTTCTGTAATTAATAAGAATTTTTTTTTTCTGATTGCCAAATGCAGTGGCGGGCCACAGAAATAATTTGGCGGGCCAAATGTGGCCCGCGGGCCGCACTTTGCCCACCCCTGATCTATGCTATAGTGTATTGTTCACTACACAATATCCCTCTACTGCACAGTCGTAAAAAGTAACTTCATTATTCATACACACGAGAAATTATGATTCGCCTAAATCTTAACTGTTCTGCACTTTAAACTTGTAGATGGGAGAGTTCAAGGTGGTACTGGTGGCCTCCTCTTGTTGGGCAGGTGAAGGAGGGAGGCGTCGCCGCTGGAGCTGAGGACTCAAACACTCCGGCTGTGGCCACGCTCAAGGAAGAACACTCAGCAGCTGTGGCCACTCTGAAGGAAGAACACTCAGCAGCTGCCCACAACACCATAACTCGAGTGAAACGACAAGACTGTGAGTGCTGTCTGCTGGTCCTGTGGGGGGACTGATATAAAAGAGGAGTTTGGAGTGGCGAGAGGGAGGTGTTGGGTGTGGTGAGTGGGGTGTTAAGGGGATGAGTGAGAGTAGAGGATGGAGGAACGTGTAAGGAACAAGGGAAGGGTGTGGAAGGAGGGAGTGCTGAGAAATGAAGGAATGGCGGGGAAAGAAGGTGTAGTAAAGAAGGAAGATTGGTGAGCCCAGGGTAAGTATTGCGTCTCCTGCCCCTGGTAGTGTTAGGGTGATAGGAACTAAGACTCCCATATCTGTGTAACACAAACCTGACCCCACACCGGTGTAACACAGACCTGACCTCACACCTGTGTAACACAAACCTGCACCCGACACCTGTGTAACGCAAACCTGACCTAAGACGCCTACTCCTGTGTAACACAAACCTGACCCCACACCTGTGTAACACAAACCTGACCCCACACCTGTGTAACACAAACCTGACCTCACACCTGTGTAACACAAACCTGACCTCACACCTGTGTAACACAAACCTGACCCCACACCTGTGTAACACAAACGTGACCTATGACACCATACCTGTGTAACACAAACCTGACCCCACACCTGTGGAACACAAAACTGACCCCACACCTGTGATACACAAACCTAACCCCACACCTGTGTAACACAAACCTGACCCCACACCTGTGTAACACAAACCTGACCCCACACCTGTGCAACACAAACCTGCAACCCGAGATAGTATATCTGCCGGTTGTCTGTGAATATATTATCTTACACAACTTGTTTGTTCCTCTGCACCAACTACAGTGATAACACTGCCGACACCAACTGACTTGAGGAAGACGTCAACTGGTACCGACTACGTTGATATCGAGTGGAAGGTGAGTTTTCGTGTCTCCTTGTGCTATATTATCAGTGATAACTAATAACATATACTGTAAGATATCACCTACATTAGGAAGAAGAAATATTAGGAACAATTGTACGATGGGAATAGTATTGAACATAAAACTTTATTATGAGAAATGAAAATAACAATACATAATTATAATAATACGATTAGTATTGACCTTAAAATGTGACTGAAAAAGATTGAGTAAATGTCGAAGCTGAACACCCCTATCGATGGCATTTCAAAATGTTTGGGTGAGGATGTAAAATATTTTGGTTCATGATAAAATTAACACCTCTAATGTCAACAGAATGGTGTGTATGTGGGATCTGCTCTTAGCTTCTATGGTTCTTCACTACTAACGCTCCCACACAATAAATTTTAGAACCTTTCCCCCGGTTGATGCTGTGAGTCACCGGGTATCGTATAATCCTTCCAGTAGGCTGGTGATGGTCGGTAGATTGTTCCACTGTCTTTTTATCCTACCCTTGTCCTCTACAGTATGAAGGAGACCAAGGCAGTGTAGAGTTCCTGGTCAAAGTATACTACAGTGGTGCTGAACGAGTTTTTGCCAAGGACCAGGTAGTACGAGGAACGTCAGTGAGAGTGGGCGGTCTGGCACCCAGTACAACGTACCTCATGTCCGTGAGCGCCTTTAAGGCTCTCCCTAGGGGCCGCCGTGCCACCAGTCCTGACAGCCAATTGATCACAGCCAAGATTCCAGGTCAGTCAGCTACAAGATAAGTGATGAAAGTGACAGGAAACTGTTGAAACACCATCAGAAAAGATTCCTTAAACTACTCTCTCTCTCTCTCTCTCTCTCTCTCTCCCTCCTTTGGAATGTATCGTTGCGTACCGCCTCTGTCTTGTATTATACCACTGAGTCATTATTTTTTCTGAACTGAATGTCATATATTTATGTGTTTAATATTGTTTTCCTTGTGTCGTAGATCTGGTGCTGTCGCCGCCAAGTAACCTCAGGGTGACGGACTCTTCTCGCGACTTAATCAACCTGGAGTGGCAGGTGAGTAAACTCGTTGCTTCTGACAGAGTACGATTTGATTTATATAAAAAAGTGACAGATTTTGTTATATTTGAAAAATCAGTTTTATATCGACATTTTATAAATCAGGAAAAGGTGGCCATTGTTCTGGGAGGTGTGGCGGTGGTCAGATTGAGTCGATGGTGTGTGGTGGTGGTCAGGTTGAGTCGATGGTGTGTGGTGGTGGTCAGGTTGAGTCGACGGTGTGTGTGTGGTGGTCAGGTTGAGTCGACGGTGTGTGGTGGTGGTCAGATTGAGTCGATGGTGTGTGGTGGTGGTCAGATTGAGTCGACGGTGTGTGGTGGTGGTCAGGTTGAGTTGAGTCGACGGTGTGTGGTGGTGGTCAGGTTGAGTCGACGGTGTGTGTGGTGGTGGTCAGGTTGAGGTCGACGGTGTGCGTGGTGGTCAGGTTGAGTCGACGGTGTGTGGTGGTGGTCAGGTTGAGTCGACGGTGTGTGGTGGTGGTCAGGTTGAGTCGACGGTGTGTGGTGGTGGTCAGGTTGAGTCGACGGTGTGTGGTGGTGGTGGTGGTCAGGTTGAGTCGACGGTGTGTAGTGGTGGTGGATGAGTCGACGGTGTGTGGTGGTGGTGGTCAGGTTGAGTCGACGGTGTGTGGTGGTGGTCAGGTTGAGTCAACGGTGTGTGGTGATTGTCAGGTTGAGTCGACGGTGTGGTGGTGGTCAGGTTGAGTCGACGGTGTGGGTGGTGGTCAGGTTGAGTCGACGGTGTGTGGTGGTGGTCAGGTTGAGTCGACGGTGTGTGATAGGTGGTCAGGTTGGAGTCGACGGTGTGTGTGGTTGTCAGGTTGGAGTCGACGGTGTGTGGTGGTGGTCAGGTTGAGTCGACGGTGTGTGGTGGTTGTCAGGTTGAGTCGACAGGTGTCGACGGTGTGTGGTGGTGTCAGGTTGTCGACGGTGTGTGAGTCAGGTTGGTGATGGTGTGTGGTGGTGGTCAGGTTGAGTCGACGGTGTGTGGTGGTGGTCAGGTTGAGTCGACGGTGTGTGGTGGTCAGGTTGAGTCGACGGTGTGTGGTGATTGTCAGGTTGAGTCGACGGTGTGTGGTGGTGGTCAGGTTGAGTCGACGGTGTGTGGTGGTGGTCAGGTTGAGTCGACGGTGTGTCTGTGTTTTGGCTTTAATGTGAGACATAATATATCAGTTTTGGTTCAGATACCAGGGCCTTGTTTGTTGACGCTTGTATAGAACACAAGATTTTTAGCAGCTGTCTCTTTGGTCCCGCTGTGATCATCTTCGTCAGTAGGTGAAGTTGGATGTTCCTGTGAGAGATTGATGTCACCTCTGCCCTCTACATACAGTATGACGGAAACCAAAACGATGTAGAATTCCTGGTCAATGTATACTACAGTGGAGGAGTGCTGTTGAGGGACTTACCGGTGAAAGGTAGAACGTCCGTGACGGTGGACGGTCTTACGCCAGACACAGACTACACCTTCTCCGTGAAGGCTTTTAAGGCACTCCCACGTGGCCTCCGCGCCTTCAGTGACTCTAGTCCCACCATCACCGGCACTACTCGAGGTAAGTTGGCTCAAACTTATGATAACAACAACTACACGATTGTCAGCAATAAAGAGAGGTTTACAGTACATGCCAGCAGGACAATATTGTTAGCATAGAGTTACGGTGTTGCTGGGATGAAATGGAAAGTGACTTAGGTCTTCCCTACCCTCGGGGTCTTTTGATTTCATGTTTATTTCTTCTGAACCTCCAACACTGATCTAACATGCCTGTTCTGTGTGTTGGGTCAATTTTCTTATCCTTAAAAAAGCTTTATTTTTAGTTGTATACAGTACAGTACAGTACAGTACAGTACACATTGTAAAGTCAAAGGATTCGGTCGACGTTTTCCTGAAAGTTGTAACTTCTTCACCAGTAAGTGTTTTGAGATTTTCCTCGATCAGTGAGTGAGTGAGTTAATGCCCAAATCAGGTATGAAGCTGTTTCTGATTATATTTTGTTGTTTCCAGTAACGCCTCGGCCAACACCACGCCCACAACCACCACGCACACCACCACCAAGCCCACCACCACCAATACCACGCCCACAACCACCTGAAACCACGACTTCGCCATCAATACTCCGTCCTGATACTAGGCCTCCAGCTGTAGGGTGTACCCACGGCATGTGTTCCTGTCCCGCACCCAACCAACACTTCTGTGTCGCGTGTGACAGACTCAGCCTCTGTGAAAGAGTTGGTCAGTATCTTGGCGTTTAGTTGTCTCTTGTCCGCCGCGATATAACAATCCTATACTGGGTAACACGCAACAGTTTTACCAATACATACATAACAATTGAATGAATTATAACTTTATTTTAACTACGTTGGGTTAGTTTTTACCAGAAGAATAATTATCGTGCTTTATTGGTTTAATTTTCTGGTTTTTGCAGAGGATGAATCCGTGTGTAGTATCGAGCCAGCAGCCATGGGAGTGAACATGACAGTGACGGTACTATCGTGTGGCCCTCAAGTGACGCTGTGAGTACCGTGCTCTTTTGATCTTCTTTATTCATGATACATTATCTATTCATTATCAGATTCATTGCTATATTCTTACTTTATATATTTAATATGCGCTTTATTACTTTATTCATTGTGTATTAATTTTTCACTTTATTTATTTATTCTTAATATATTATTTACCCTCATTATTCAATACTTTATTTTGACTTTTTCAGTTATACGTTGCTAAGTTTTTATTCGATGTATTTTCACTATTAATTTTTATTTTTTATTAATTTCAATTTTTTTTTCAGGAATCTTAGGGATTTTGTACGTAGTGATAAGTGAGTTGTCATCTGATTTACGTAAATATGATTTATCTTGTTATATCACTTTCTTTTTGTTTTTAGATTGGTGAATATTTGTGTTATCCCTGTATATTATTCATATTCTTTACTGAAGGTTCTATAGTCTGGCTCGTCATTAATGCACATACTGTAACATAAACCTCACTCGTTTTCTCTGGGTGACACCTGTGGTTAATACTGCCAAACATTTACTGTGTGGTCAAAAGATCACTATTCCTCATTTCCTTAATTTTGTTTTGGTCGAGATAAACATCTGTCAGTGAAGCAAAAGACGGAAATTTAGGGTCAAATATACGGAACCACAATGTACTTTAAAAGGCAACAATACTGCTTTATAGGGGACTGTTGTGTGGGTCAGCTACCGGAGTGCCTGTGGATACGGTGGTGATGGCGGAGTGTTGGAGATCGGCTACCTACCTGTCACAGTGCCACGCTGACGGCAAGTGGCATCCTTACGGCCGCCACCAGACTCAGGCACCGTCCTCACAACACCTGTGTCAGCCTCACGCCGTTAACTCTCTCGGTGAGTCTCATTTAAGGGGTCATAACCGTGGTTAAAAGTTGGCACGATACTGCTTTGCGTGTGTGTGTGTGCAAAAGCATGTATAGTGTGACCGTTAACATAAATAACGTTGAGGTCCAGAACAAAAACCTACAGAACATTCCAGATGTGTTGGAAGTAAAGAAAGGGTGTCCATGACTAATAATAAGGCCCTCATTTCTAAACATAACTTACAAGTGTCTGCTACATAAGTTCGTCAACAATAATAAGACCAGCGTGATTTATGTATACCTGTATTAATGTTGAGGCTATTAACTATTAAAATGACTGTCAGATAATACATAAACACCCTTTACCTCTTCAACAGACCTGAATGTTGTAAGACCATTAAGAGGAATTAATGTTTAATATTTCAGATCGACCTCAAACCTCCTTCAACCGCTACTGTTGACGAGAGAAAGAAAACCACAACAACATTTACAGGAGTGACTTGTCTAATTAATTACTGTGACTGGACATAGGGTTAGAGAACGACAGTAAGCCAGCCTCTGATTGGTTAAAAAGTACTTTGTGTCTTGATTCAAAAGAAGAGTACATGATAAAACCAAATATAACCTAACCGGATTTAATGTAAGCTAAACTTAACTTTCCCAATTTAACCTAACCTGATCTAATATAACCTAGTCTAACCTAACCAATATTAATCTTATTTTAACCTGACCTACCCTAAACTAACATTACCCAAGCATATTTAACCTAATCTAACCTGACCCAAGCATATTAAACATAATCAATCCAATGTCCTACATGACCGCAAGCAGTGTGTGGTGATTAATGGCACGAAATCATCATCCATACCTGTCACAAGCGGGGTACCACAGGGCAGTGTATTGGGCCCGCTGTTGTTTGTTTGTTTCATAAATGACATGCCTGACGTTGTACACTCCTCCATACAAATGTTTGCTGATGACGCCAAGTTATTTCTGGAAATCAAGAACCAAGCGGACTGTGAAGAGCTGCAGAAGGACCTCTGTGGGCTCCAAGAATGGTCGAAGAAATGGCTGCTGAGATTCAATGTCACAAAGTGTAAAAGGATGCACCTGGGGCGTACCAACGGTAAGGAGGCGTATCATATGTCCCAACGTGATGAAGAAACTGCACTGTTTGAGACTGAATGTGAGAAGGACCTCGGTGTGTATGTTGACAATGAGCTGAAGTTCTCGGGCCATTGCGAGAAGAAGGTAAATCAGGCAAATAAATTATTGGGTCTTATAAGAAGGTCGCTCAGATATCTAGACGATCCGTCCCTCGTGACGATCTTCAAGAGTGAAATGCTTTCCCATCTGGAGTACTGTCACCCCGTCTGGTCCCCGAGATATGCTAGGGACTGTCAGTTGGTTGAAAATGTTCAAAGGAGGGCCACCAGACTGGTGCCTGCCCTTCGGCACCTCAGCTACCCTGAGAGATTGGAGCGCCTGAACTTGTCTAGCTTATACTACAGACGGGCAAGGGGTGACCTAATTGAGTTGTATAAGCATCTCAAGGGGCATTACTCAGTCGAGTGTCCTTACTTGGAGCTGGCGGACGCTCGCCCCACAAGGGGTCACAGCTCAAGATTGAAGAAGCCGCAAGTCCAGAAAACTGTGAGGGCAAACTTTTTCGGAGTGAGAGTTGTGAACTCTTGGAACAATCTACCAGAGAGTGTTGTGACGGCACCGAGTGTGAGCTCTTTCAAGACAAGACTTGACCAACACTGGAGCCGGTTCAGGTACATTCAGGAGCCGGTGTATGCCCAGTACTTGCCAACAGTGCGTAACAGAGACGTGACCGATCGCCCGGGCGGCTAACGAGCCGATCAGTGGTGAAGAGGATAAAAGTAAAAGTAAAGTAAAGACCCAAACACATTTAACATAAAATTATCTAACCTAATGTAACCTTACCTAACCTAACCAAATTTGAATCCTACTTAACCTAACCTAAACTAACCAACCGTAGGATTATTACACAAGGTCTGGTCGGTTCGTGTTGTGTGTTGTCAACCTGAGAGGCAGTGTAAGCATCTGAGGGTAGGAGTCTCGTGTCAACCAATCAAATCCTGTCTGGCGATCGCTCTCTAGCCGTCTGTGTTATTATGTCCTTAACTTCTTACTCGTGATAATAAGAGTATAATTTGTATTTATTATGACTGTAATTTTACATCAGGTTATGAAGAACTCTTAAGCGAAATATATGGTATTAAATTCAATCCAGTAATGTAGTTTTCATCCATATGTCGTTCCCTTAATAGATTATACACTATTCATTAATTATATCTGACCCAATTTTAAGACTTCATTCTGTAATCTCACTCGACCTTAAATAACACATGCTGGTCAAGGGGAAGTTTGCTAAATTAAGAAATAATTATTGTGAGTGGTTTTTAAGTGAGTTTTTAAAGTGTGTTTTTTCAGTGTGTTTTAAGTGTGTTTTTTAATTGTGTTTTTAAGTGTTTTAAGTGTGTTTTTGAAGTGTGTGTTTTTTAAAGTCTGTCTTTTAAAATGTGTGTTTTTTTAAGTGTGCTTTTTAAGTTTTTTTCTAAGTGTTGAATCTATATAATATTTGTTTTAATGTTAATGAGTTTTGAAATGTGTTGGATGACTTATTGACTCCCTTGATAAACTCTATGATTACTTCGTCCTGCATCACTTCCTTCCTACATTCAATTCATTTACTTCATTTATTCATTTACTTCATTTATTCATTTACTTCCTGTATTAAAAAACAAAAGCAGTACAACTAATATTACAGTTACAGGAGACTTTAGGATCGGTATGTGTTATCAAAACGGGATCACCTGAAGATTACCGTAAGAAGGTGTTTAATCTTCGGGTGAAATAAACTGCGAGGGGCTAATCTGCGGGTGATCTCATAACCTTATTAAAAAATAAATAAATCGTTCATTTCTCTCTGACTAGACTAACGATTTGTCTCCTGTCACAGTGTGTGGTCGAAGGCCGCCCTATCAAAACGATGCAGTCCAAATCCTCTCGACAAAGCCTCAATGGCCATGGCTGGTCGGGGTGTTTCGGAAGGAGAACTACGCCTGTACTGCCACCATCATTAGCCCTCGTTACCTCCTCACAGCTGCTCACTGCCTCACAAGGTTAACAACTCCCTATGAGACAAGAGTGTGCCGGTCATCCAGGCTGTGGTTCAGCGCCTTTCATCCATATTCAATCTAATCAATTGGACACAGCTAATTTTACATCAAGCATCTCTTAAGTTAGGTTTGGTTAGGTTAGGTTAGGATAAGTTGTGGTAGATTAGGTTAGGTCCGGGTAGGTTATAGTAGTTTCGGTTGGGATAGGTTAGGTTAAGTTTGAATAGCTTAGGATTCCGTTGTAAGTTTCATTGTTCACTGATAATTACATTTATTAGGAACTTTGGAAATTCATAATTATCACATTTTTGAAGTTCTGTAATTTTCTGTTTATTACATTTTTTTTCTTTTAATTTAACGATGTTTTAGTTTGTTTTTCTCTGTTTAACTATATTTTTATTTCCAGGACGCAATCAAGCTCTCGGGAGTTAGTTGACTTGAGGGAATTAATGGTTCAACATCTTGATACCAACGGCTATGTCGTCAGGAAGTATGTAAGTGTACGGACTCTTAGATGAGAGCAGTGGCGTTGTTAGAGGGTTTCTTGACACAACACAGGTATTGACAGCCAGGACACATATGTAAGTAGATACATACACAGTCAGGATTCAGACATCTAGGATACAGACACAGCCAGGATACATACACAGCCAGGATACATACACAGCCAGGATACATACACAGCTAGGATACATACACAGCCAGGATACATATACAGCCAGGATACATACACAGCCAGAATACATACACAGCCAGGATACATATACTACCTCGTGAACTAGCATACTCTTATTCCCTTCCAAGATGAACTAGCATATCTTAGCTCCTTCCCATGTAAAATAGCATACCCTTTTGTTCCTCCCTGGTGAACTAGTATACTTTTGTTCCATCTCAGGTAAAGAGCGGGTACCTATACCCCGGGTTCGTGGCAGGCAGAAGACCCTCAATGGACGTGGGGTTGATTAGCGTGGAGGAGGCTATAGTGTTCTCCTATCATGTACAGCCTGCCTGCATCCACACCCAAGGCTTTCCTTCTCAGAACATAGCAGCCGTCAGTATCTCTTTCAGCTGTGTGTGTGTCTTACCAATCTCTCTTATATGTGCTTTCGATATTCACACAACTAAGTAATCATCATCTTTCTGACGACTCCTAACCCATGTTACTTACGACAGACCTTCAAACGCTCAAACCAGCATTATGGATGGGAGTTAATACTTCAACAACACGACCCTCGCTGTCACTCCCCTCAAGACGCGTGTGCCAAGTCCCTCAACCTACACGACACTCAGTTCTGTGCTACTGACGCAGGTGAGGCGATACCTACAGTGTGTGTGTGTGTGTGTTTTTATGCTGACACAGGTGTATCTCAGCACCTGAGTGAGATTGTAATGAGAATGTAGGCATTTTGATACATTATAAATCTGTTGGTTATATTAGTAGTAGTAGTAGTAGTAGTAGTAGTAGTAAAGTCGTTATCATTATATTAAGTTTTTATTATTTATTGTATATTTCCCTTTGCTGCAGTATCAAACAGTAACATTCTTACTTACGCCAAACTCTGGTGTTCCTGGATCATTCAATACACATTTACGGCAACTGTCGTATGCATCAACACAACACCCTAATCCCTAGAGAACCATTGAACATAAAACTCTGATTACTGGCAGAATCTACAAGACGCCTGAGTGAGGGCTCCTCAGGTGGGCCTTACCTGGTCAACGTTGGGAAGGCGAGTAAGGAGCAGTGGTCGGTGGTCGGTGTGGTATCCTCTTCCTACAGCAGAGACTCCTGTGACACGCCCCTCACCATCTACTCTTCCCTGGCTGAAATGAGGTCCTGGATATCAGAATGTGTAGACGAGGGAATCTGTTCCTGATGTGTTGTCGAGGGTGAACTTGTCATTATGTAAATGGTTGTGGGTGATTGTCTCTTATCACGTGTGACTATTTGGTCAGATAATGTACTTTTGGTTGACCTTAACTTGTCATATATGTACTCTTCACAGATGTTTATTAAAGGTTAATTGGTCTGTGTCGTTAGTTTATCCATTGTAAACTTCCCTGTGTCACATGGGACGACAAGTTCTCCCTTATAATGTAGTATTTTTGTTTGATTATGTTGCCAAGATTATCACATTGTTCTGTTAGGGTTAAGGTCGGTTTAGGGTAGGCTAGATTAAGTTCTCTTAAGGACTCTATGCAAAAAGGATTTTACGTGTGATATAATAGGGATGCAGGTATTTCCGCCCCTGTGCAATGTGTGCGCGTGTGTCTCCTGACCAAAACGTTCCTAACGTATGAGCCAAGAATACCATAGAAAGTAGCGAGCAGCCTTGAAGCACCTCCCCTACATGCTTACTCAGAGCTAAGTATAGACTCCACTGCCCATGTAATAATTGGTGTTTGTGATGGTGTACGCTATAGTATGTCTGTGTTCCAGATACTGGTTGAAGAAAACACTACATACCATACTCCATTGTACATTTAATTATCTTTTCTTTTAGCAGTCACACATTGGACCAATCACAGTTAAGTAAGGGATTACTGGACGTATGTCCCTGGGGTCGCTGACGCCCGTGGTAGAGCCCCTGAGCTCCCCGACGCCCATAGGAGGGCTCCTGGGAGAGTCCCTGGAAGCATAATTGCCTCTTGTGGGCGCTGCCGCCCCTGGGATGGCCCCTGGGGTCGCCGCTGCCCTTGGGAAGGCCCCTGTTTTCGCCGGCGCCCCTGGGAGGGCCACGGGGTTTGCTGCCACCTCTAGGAGGGCCCCCGGTGTCGTCGACGCCCCTGGCGTCACCGACGCATCTGAAAGGGCCCCTGGGAGAGCCCCTTGGGGGTGCAATAGCCCCTTAGAGGGTCCCTGAGGGGGCTGCCGCCCCTTCGATAGGCCCTGGGTCGCCACTGCCCTTATGAAAGCCCCTGGGGTCGCCGACGTCCCTGGAAGGGCATCTGAGGTCCACGACCCCTTTAGGAGGGCCCCTGGGAGATCCCCTGGGGGCGCAATTGGCCCTTAGAGGCCCCTGGGGTCCGAGGCCCATAGAAGGATCTCTGGGGTCAGCACTGCATCTAGGAGGCCCCCTGGAGTCGCTGCCTCCTCTAGGAAGATCCCTGGAGGAGCCGTACCTGGTAGGATCGCTGGGGACAGTTGGTTTTGCACTATTTAGAATATTGGGAGATATGACATTAAATAAACACATACCCCATCCAATTTCCAGTATCACCACATCATGAACAATGTAAAGGAGAATACATATCCAACAGGAAAACATAAGTTGGGGTGTTGTGCTGACTGACTGCTCTGTTCTCCTATTGGCTGTAATTTGGTGGATTTACATTTTAGTTCACCAATCACAGTTAAGTATGCAATTGCTGGACGTATGTCCCTGGGGTCGCCGACGCCCGTGGTAGGGCCCCTGAGGTCCCCGACGCCCCTAGAAGGGCTCCTGGGAGAGTCTCTGGAAGCGCAATCGCCCCTTAGAGTTCCCTTGCAGGTGCTGCCGCCCCTGGGACGGCCCCTGGGGTCGCTGCTGCCCTTCGGAAGGCCCCTGGTTTCGCCGGCGCCCCTGGGAGGGCCACGGGGTTTGCTGCCGCCTCTAGGAGGGCCCCCAGTTTCGCCAACACCCCTGGGGTCACCGACGCATCTGAAAGGGCCCCTGGGTTCGCCGGAACCCCTGGTAGGGGCCCTGAGTTCCCCGACGCCCCTAGGAGGGCCATTGGGAGAGCCCTTTAAGAGTGCAATCGCCCCTTAGAGGGTCCCTGGGGGGGCTGCCAACCCTTGGATAGTCCCTGGGGTCGCCACTGCCCTTATGAAAGCCCCTGGGGTCGCCGACGTCCCTGGAAGGGCATCTGAGGTCCACGACCCCTTTAGGAGGGCCCCTGGGAGATCCCCTGGGGGCATTATTGGCCCTTAGATGCCCCTGGGTTCCCCGACACCCCTGGTAGGAGCCCTGAGTTCCCCAACGCCCATAGGAGGGCCATTGAGAGAGCCCTTTAAGAGTGCAATCGCCTCTTAGAGGTTCCCTGGGGGCGCTGCTGACCCTGGGTTAGCCCCTGGGGTCGCCGACGTCCCTGGAAGGGCATCGAAGGTCCACAACCCCTTTAGGAGGGCCCCTGGGAGATGCCCTGGGGGCGCAATTGGACCTTGGAGGCCCCTGGGTCCAACACCCGTACAAGGATCTCTGGGGTAGGCGCTGCATCTAGGAGGCCCCCTGGCATCGCTGCCTCCTCTAGGAGGGTCCCTGGAGGAGCCGTACCTGGTAGGATCGCTGGGGGCAGTTGGTTTTGCACTATTTAGAATATTGGGAGATATGACATTAAATAAACACATACCCCGTCGCATTTCCAGTATCATCGCATCATGAACAATGTAAAGGAGAATAAATATCCAACAGGAAAACATAAGTTGGGGGTGATGTGCTGACTGACTGCTCTGTTCTGCTATTGGCTGCAATTTGGTGGATTTACATTTTAGTTCACCAATCACAGTTAAGTATGGGATTGCTGGACGTATGTCCCTGGGGTCGCCGACGCCCGTGGTAGAGCCCCTGAGGTCCCCGACGTCCCTAGAAGGGCTTCTGGGAGAGTCCCTGGAAGCAAAATCGCCCCTTAGAGTCCCCTTGTGGGCGCTGCCGCCCCTGGGATGGCCCCTGGGGTCGCCGCTGCCCTTGGGAAGGCCCCTGGTTTCGCCGGCGCCCCTGGGAGGGCCACAGGGTTTGCTGCCACCTCTAGGAGGGCCCCCAGTGTCGTCGACACCCGACGCATCTGAAAGGGCCCCTGGGTTCGCCGACACCCCTGAGTTCCCCGACGCCCCTAGGAGAGCCCCTGGGAGAGCCCCTTGGGGGTGCAATAGCCCCTTAGAGGGTCCCTGGGGGGGCTGCCGCCCCTTCGATAGCCCCTGGGTCGCCACTGCCCTTATGAAAGCCCCTGGGGCTCCTGGGAGAGTCCCTGGAAGCACAATCACCCCTTAGAGTTCCCTTGTGGGCGCTGCTGCCCCTGGGACGGCCCCTGGGGTCGCCGCTGCCCTTGGGAAGGCCCCTGGTTTCGCCGGCGCCCCTGGGAGGGCCACAGGGTTTGCTGCCGCCTCTAGGTAGCCCGATCGCCTACCCGCTAGCCCACCCGCCTACTAGCCCACCCACCCGGGATTCGGAGAAGTGTCCTAGCACAGATTGGAGACTTACTCCATGACCGCAATCAGTGTGTGCGTGTGGTGATTAATGTCACGAAATCAATATCTGTACCATTTACAAGCAGGGTACCACAGTGTAGTGTATTTGGCCCACTGTTGTTTGTTTACTTCATCAGTGACCTGCAAGAGACTGTACACTCCTCCATTCAAATGATTGTGGATGATGCCAAGTTATTTCGAAAAATTAAGAACCAAGCAGACCATGAAGAGCTGCAGAAGGATCTCTGTGAGCTTCAAGAATGGTCGAAGAAATAGCTGCTAAGATTCAATGTCACGAAGTGTAAAAGGATGCACCTGGGACGTACCAATAATAAGGAAGCGTATCATATGTCCCAACAGGAAGAAACTGCATTAATTGAGATTGAATTTGAAAAGGACCTAGGTGTGTATGTTGAAAATGAGCTGTAGTTCTCGGGCCATTGCGAGAAGATGAATCAGGCAACTAAAGTTGTTCAGATATCTAGACGGTCTGTCCTCTGTAATGATCTTCAAGAGTGAGGTACTTTCCCGTCTGGTCCCCGAGATATACTAGGGACTGTCAGTTGATTGAAAATGTCCAAAGGAAGGCCACCAGGTTGGTGCGAGCACTTCGGCAGCTCAGCTACCTTGAGAGATTAGAGAACCTGCAATTGCCTATCTTATACTACAGAAGGGCAAGGGGAGACCTAATTGAGATGCATAAACATCCAAGGGTATTACTCAGTTGAGTGTCCTTACTTGGACCTGGCAGACACTCACTCCACAAGGGGTCACAGCTCAAGGTTGAAGAAGCTGCAAGTCCAGAAAACTGTGAGGGCAAACTTTTTTGGAGTGAGAGTTGTGAACTCTTGGAACAATCTGCCAGAAAGTGTTGTGACGGCACCGAGTGTGAGCTCTTTCAAGACCAGACTTGACAAGTACTAGAGCAGGTTCAGATACATTCAGGAGCCAGTGCATGCCAACAATGCATAACAGAAACATGACCGATCGCCCAAGCGGTTAACGAGGCTATCAGTGGTGAATTGGATAAAAGTAAAAAGTCAAAGGTAAAGTCATAAGGAGATTATTGGAAAAATCGGATTATAAGGGCACAGTTTCAGGCTCCCCTGAACAAGAGGTGGTCAACTTCACATGTGCAACAACCTCTTCAATTTGCAAGAAGGTTGTGTTGAACTTTGGTGTGCGTGTCAAGGCTTGTACAAACCGAAATGGTTCACACGTCGAGAATGTCAACTACCAAAAAATTCTGCAATGAATGATTATCAAATGGCAAGATGTCCTTCACGAGTTTCCCATATGATCTTGTATTTGAGTTGTGTAATTACCTCATAATAGTCACGAAATCAGGCCCTTATTTTGGTGCACCCTGTATATACAGTACTGTATATAATTTCTTTCTTCCTCAGTTGTAATGTCTTTATCTGTCTCTGTGGTTATTTGCTTTTATGTCTCTCTCCCTCTAGGTTTATTCTTTTTTATTATCTATCATTTCATGTCTTATCAGCTTACTTGCCATTCAGGCGGATGGTCTATCCAGTGTTTGTACAGGAGTAAATCGGACTCCAGAAAACCTGTTATGTTTGGTATGGTTACACTGGATAACACCCTTCTCACGTATATCTGGGCCAAGCAGGATTTGAACCTCCCATGACATATTGGTGAGATGTGCGCATTACCGCTGCATTTTTCTCTCTCTATTTCTTTCTTCGTCTTTGGTTATTTCTGTCTTTATCTATCTTTCTTTTTCTGTTGTCATTTCCATCTTTATCTGTCTGTCTCTTTCTCTTTGGTTATTTATGTGAGTGTCTATCTCTCTGTCTTTCTTTCTTCCTGTGGTTATTTCTGCCTGTCAGTCTTCTCTCTTTCTGTGTTTGTCTCTCTGTGTTTCTCTGTCTCTCTGTTTATCTGCTTCTCTATCAAATTGCGTTTCTTTCTTTTTTCTTTGTGTCTTTCTTTATCTGATAGACTGATAGCTCGATAGACAGATAAATATACAAAGAGATATACAGATAAACAGACAGACAGACATAGATAGATAGTGAAATAGAAAACAAGGAGTTAAATCTCAGCTATGTCAAGTTTGGTCATATTTAGGAAAACAATTTAAATGATTATTTTCCAATATATTTCTGAAGACAGGTCAGGTCATTCTCTCTCTTTCTATCACCATTTCCCCCTCCTTCTCTCTCTCTCTTTGTCACCCTTTCCACCCTCCTTCTCTCTCTTCCCTCCCTTTCTATCTGTCACTCTTCCCCTCTCTCTCTCTCTCTCTCTCTCTCTCTCTTTTTATCTGTCACTCTCCCCCTCCCTCTGTCTCTCTCTATCAATCACTCTCTCCACTGTCCCCTACCATCTCTCTCACAACAAACATGACATCTATACATGACCTCTATACATGACCTTATAATAATAATAATAATAATAATAATAATAATAATAATAATAATAATAATAATAATAATAATAATAACAATATATGGACTAGTAGTATTCAACAGACAGTGGGCCACCTCACAGTTGGGTTGACCAGAGGTGCCTCACCATACTTCGATATGTATAATCACATGTATATTTCTACATATCTATGATAAGAATAGATTATACACATGTACAGTTACGGACATTTGAGTGGTGGCCACCTAGTCCATCATCACAGTGGTGGAATGCTCACCACAATTGGTAATAGTTAGGTATAAGATAAAGAATGGAGAGTAAAGGCCTTACCGAATTTTGGTGTCCAAGCAAGTAATGGCGCTCATGTAAGGAAAATTGTCATCTATTGTTTACTTTTTGTATATTATTGTTGTCTCAATCTCTACTGTAAAAAATAACAAGAACATGAGATCAAAGAACAACAAAATCATAAAGAAGTGAACAAAATAATATAAGATAAACAATTAAAATAGTTTTCCCTCATGTTCGAGGATGGCCAGCCCTAGGGTCACCTAGGCGAGAACTTGTTTAAGGTGTAGAAAATGTCGCTAACACAACAACTACACCTTAAGTTAACGAGTTGCATGACCCAGTGTCAAGGAATAATCCGAGAAGACAGGACAACTTGTCAACTGCACTGGCTAACCATTACCTCGGAACACAATCCGTAAATTGATTAACATCCTGGTTCCCAATTACTGCTGCGTCAGGCAAATGGCATAAAGAAACTTTTTCACTCAATCTCTTTCTATCTGTAAGGGTTAAGTATAAATATAGAAGTCAGGCATCTGCTCCCAACCCCCCCCCCCCCAAATATACTGTATATATATATATACAGTATATATATCGCTAAATCCACGTTTCCAATGGTTTCACACAAAACCTGTTCATTCATCTTTTTTAAGCAACATGAACCTCCATCGGGGAATGTCCATGCCAATGCAAGAAACATAATGTTGAACGTGAAAAACAAATATATTTATTCACCTTTCATTATTTCACTAAATCTTAATAAAAAGTAAAAAGTAGAAGACAATTTTCCTTACATCAACACCATCTATTGGTTGGGTGCTAAACTTAATTATGGTCTTCACTTTCCATTCTTTAGCTTACACTTAACTGTTATCAATTGAGGCAGCATTCCACCACTGTGATAGTGGACTACCGGTGCCCTCAATTCTTATGTCCTCATATGTCCAAAACTGCACATATGACACATGTTGTACATGGTATATGTACACACATGTATACACAACTTTGTCATATATACAGATGTGTACTAATGACACATACATGCTATATGTACACAATGTATACATAACTCATATACACCTACATGAATGACCCACATGTATACACAATTGTCATATATATACTACACACATGTAGGCATAACTTTATCATATACACATACATGTACATACGACACATACATGGTATATATTCACACATGTACAGTATACATAAGTTACATTATCACATGTACAGTCCTGGACATTTCCACATGAGGCTCTCACCCACAAATGTGAACCCTGTGAATGTGAGGCTGGGGAATCTGAAGCAACAGAAATTTATATATCTGGTAACAATGTATGTGTGTGTGGGGGGAGGAGGGTTAGGCGAGTGCAGTAGGTGTGGGAGTAACTGAGTTGTGTTGTGGAGGCAGTTGTCGTGTGTTGTTTCAGCATATTATGGATAGATGGAGATGGAAAAGGGTGATTATGATTAAGGAAATTAGTGATTTATTAAAACTGCATTATAAGTCCAGTCTCATGTAAACCTGTAAACCACCAGGACAATAGCCCCACATAACTGTGGCCCCCTTTCTTATGCCTTGCCGGCTCCCTGCCTAGTCACCATTGATATAAAGTTGTTGTAATGTTAATGTTATAATGTGTATTTCAGCTTTGCCCTTTATTCCACTCCTCACACACCTCCAGCCACCCATGACAACATTTATCCAGAATTACCATGTTATGTTATGCTGTAATAAAACAATGTATTGAACTCTATTTATCCTTCAACTGGACTTTACTATGAAAATACTAATGACCAATAATTGATTCCAATCAGTTGAAAATCTCAACTTGTGTATAAATCATTTCGCAAGCATAATCCTCGGTATTAGGTAAAATGGAATGAATTTGAATATCAATACTATGTACACACTGAAATACTGAAGTTTCCAATTCACATTAACTGCTTGTACTGTATATGCTAATGACAAACATTCTATTCCTCCAAAAGTTAAACATTTGGCTGATGTTCATATTGGAATACTGAATTCAACATGTATGGTAGTTAGTGGTAATCCTGGATAAATGTGGGTGGCTGGAGGGAACCACGACCCGGGGCGAAGAGGTGACATGGGTGACCCTACTAGATCAGTCATTTAATGAGAGCAAAATGTAAACAATGACAGTAAAGGATCAATGTTGCCAGACAATGTAAGGAGTAGATTGACGTCAAGTGACCTTATCAATCTCATGGTGGCTGGTTACAGTGTGCACCTAATATCTAAATTCATTTGGGCTGAACATTATCATAAAGATTGTTAATCACTTCAAGTTGTAAAATTACCTGCATGTAAAATATGCCTTAGATTGACAATAAATGAGGATGTTCTGGTGAGAACATTTCCCAACATGCCACCCCTGTTTTACCACAAACAAGAAGACCCGCTTCACTTGCAAACCCTCTCAGTAGCTATTCTGTCATCTACCTTCGTTTTTCTCATGACTCAGTAAGAGAATGTCATCTGCAAACATGTAGTTATTTAAATACTGTAATGTCCATTCATATTAATCCCTGTGGTAGATCCCTTGAAGATGTCTTCGAAATATGTTAAGAATAATTTCAAAAAATGTGTGGATGTATACTCTTGGTTGTTCAACACCTCGCCTCATGCCTGCGATTAGTATTTCTTATACCTCCCCTCCCACATCCCCACACTCCTATTGTTTGTGGTCACAGACGGCTTCAATATACCTTATTTATGTTTACATTAATATCAATAAATATATAAGGATGTTTCCATCTCTTACAACAGATGATCTAATTCCTGCCATAAGCAAAATTGGTAGAGGAAATATAAGGTAACACCGGTTCTCCTACTATCATTGCCTAACACCACTTCCACCATGCTCATCTTACCAAGGGAGGGAGGGAGGGAGGGGGCAAGGTTATGTGTCCGCTATTGTCCTGGTGGTCTAGATAAGAGTGGACCCATTACACAGGCTTTAACTAAACACACTAATTATAAATCTTTAATATAAGTGCATACCCATATTCTTAAATCTTAATCTACCTTCTACCTCTTCCATCACCATTTATCCATCATATGCTAAAACAATACATGGCAACTACATCACCACAAAACTCAGTGACACCCGCACTCCCCAACCCTTAACCCTCCTCCTTCCATACCTTCCCCTTTCCACTGCCACACACATATTGTTACCATATAAACAAATCTCTGTCTGATGCCTTAAATTCCCTGGTCTCACATTCACAGGATTCCCATTTGTGGGTGAGTGTCTAACATGGAAATGTCCGGGACTGTACACACATGGTTTTAAAGTGCACATAAGTTCCATGTGGATTTATCACTCAGTGTAGGTTCATCCCTCAATTCATACACATGACTATTTAGTCATGTGTACACAAAGGTGTTATATGTGATAACAGACGAGTCTACAGTGAGAGAATGAAGTATCTTCCCAGGGTTTTGATGAGTATCCTGTACATTGCAGAACAGTTGAGCCATCGACACATGCTTGTGTGAAACCTATAAACAGTTGCCAAATCTGTGGAACCTTGCAAAGGGGTCGCCAGTGACACCTTTCACTGTGCTGGGTAGTCAGGTTTCATTACATCTTGACCAAAGCTGGGAGGATACTTCATTCTCTCACTGTACATACTGTCATATCACATGTGACACCTTCTTTATGACAGTTATGGGTTAACAAAACTGTTATCACTTATATGACAGTTTTAGAGTGGCATACAAGTGTCATATCACAAGCGACATCTAAATTTCATCAGGTTTTATGACATGACAATATGACATGACAAAGAGTACATATGCAAATTAAATGTTTACTGATATATATATATATATATATATATATATATATATATATATATATATATATATATATATATATATATATATATATATATATATATATATATATATATATATATATATATATATGTGTGTGTGTGTATATTGTATACTCATTAAATGTTTACCGGTATATGAGTTATAAGTCATAGATCATACTAAATGGCATCATATGACAGGATATTGTTTTCTTCTATGATATTGGATATATACTGGCATGACACAGTCCTTACATATTACCCTGGCATATGACAGTTCATGATAAGTATATGACAGTCACAGATCATGTAAGATACAATGTGACATAACAGGTTTTCACATTTTTAGATATATTATGTTACATACCTGTACTGGTATGACACAGCCCTTACATTACCCTGGCATATGACAGTTCATGACAAGCACATGACAGTCACAGCTGATGTCAGATGTCAACAGGAGGTTGGGTTATGGAGTCACTCAAATCCATTTCTTGAAATGATTTAGTGTCATTCAATGGGACATCATCCGTCACCATCGCATCACTTGAACTACTAGTGTCACTTGTGTCAAGGCTCTTGGCTTCGGCGTCATATGATGTGACATCTCTAGGACTGTAATGCTCCCTCTGGGCTGGGTTGATCCCCCTAGACCCATGGTTTTGGCTTGAAAAATTTTCATTTTCATTCTGTGGTAAAAATCGATTTCGGGTGCTACAGTTGTCCCGATATTGTCCGCTCCGTTCCTGCCCTGAAAATCGGTCATTATGATTCCGGGAAATGAACCGATCTTGGGTAACCCCAGATCGGAACTCCTCGGAGTGATCGGGATCACCAAAAGACCGATTTCGTTCACGGTTATCAAATGATGAATGATTTTGCCTGACAAACCTATCAGTTTCTTGTTGGTTGCCAAACGCAGATGTGTGTTCGGTGCTCAGCGCTGGTGAGACGGGTTTGAACAGGTGTGGTGGAGCTTCGGGCGTGAGTACGGGTGTGTGGACACCTGCCTCGATGGGTGAATATGCTTGCGTTGACAGTCCAGGTGATTCAGACGAGCATACCGATTCGGGAGTCCCCACACTTCCAAGCGAACCTGGTCCCCCTGGGGTAGGCGAACTGTCTAGGGACCCAACACTGAAAATCATTATCATTACTCTTATTACTGCATTATTATTATTTTTTTTTATAGTAGCTTTAACATTATTACAGCTATCATCATCATTATCATGTTAGTACTGTAGTACAAATAGCACCTGACAGCTCTGTCAGCTATCCTTGGTCAAATCTTCTTAGTCCTTGCTATTGTTGTAGACCTGCATTGTCAAGGTACACAGAAAACTGTATACTGCATACCTCTATGGTCTACGTACAGTCGCTCAAAAAAGTATCTGAAAAGTGGGGTCCGATGGATGTCAAAACAAACATTGCCAACGCCTGCTGTCTGGATACTGTTGCCTGGTCTTCTGCCATTTCCCCAAAACATACAACCTATGTGTCATATTTCCATGAACAATATTTTCAGATACTTTTTTGAGTGACTGTACACTATATACCAGCATTGTCTATACACATGCTCAAGTGTATACAGTACCGGTACCTGCATTATTTGTATACATGCTGAACTGTATACATGCATTGACTATATACATCTGAACAGTATATCTACAATGTCTATATACATAGCAAACCAACTGTAAACTTGTATGATGATTTTAATGAAATATTATTATTACTAATATTATTATTGTATGAAACTTCACACATCTACAAGTAAGATTACATTAGGTTACTCTAGTAGTGGAATAAATAAAATTATAAAATAACAGAGCAAAGAGACATGCAAGATGCAGAAATTATAATAAAATCTCTGAAAAACATCCAACACTGTCTTTATATATTAAAATTGTGTTTAGTGAAATAATACACATTCTCCAAAAAAATCAGATTCTTTAATTAATATTTGTAGGAAAAAGAAATTAAATTGTGTTAGGTTAGGTTAGGTTAGGTTAATCTTATTATCATCATTACAAAAAATTTTCCACCTTACCTATGTGGCTGCGTTATCAAGAGTCCCCCAATGCATCGGTCAGGTGCGCAGGTGGACGCCCGCTTATTTGGCGTAAGAAACTGCTCGCATCGATCATCCACATCCCACTTCCGTTTCAGTCCAGCCCCTAGAGGTGACGGCCGTAGAGCTATGGGGCTTAGACTTCTACGGGTAGCGAATGTCTTCTTTGTCGGCGATGGGGATGGGCAAAACGACGTATTTCGAACATGCTGTTGAAGTGAAGGTGAGAAACACTGTCTACCAACACCCCGAGTTGGTGATGCACCGCAGCCAGTCAGAGGAAGGACCGTTGGAACAATCGTTAAGTGGAGAGGATCAGTGAAGTCCCGTCGGATGGATGTCATGGTCGACGTCGTGCCAGATGTGTTGGTGTTTACATTAATTGAGACGTTAATTGGGCTGGATATACTCGCTGAGGTGCTTCCTGGGGCTATGTGTGCTTTAGATCGGCCAACATCTTCCGTCTGTGGAAGTTAAAGCAATTTAGTTGATTTTAACTTATCCTAACCTAGCCTCAAGCAATCTAAGCTATCCAAACCAAACCTAACTCTAATTAACCTAATGTAATGCAACCTAACCTAAACCTATCTGAACTTGACCTAACCTATCTGAATTTAACCTAACCTAAACTAACCATAACTTCACCTAACTAAACTTAAAAACCTTAACCTAACCTTAATCTAACTAAACTTAACCGAAACTAATCGAAGTTAACCCAACCTAACCTAAAGTTAACCTAAGCTACCTAAACTTACCCTAACTTAAAAATTCTTTAACAAATCTAAACCAGTCTAAAATCTCTTTAAAACAGTTACTCACTAAGGTCAGGTCCTCCCATGATTGCGATAAACAATCAGTGATCTGTAGAGTTGACTGGACGGTCCGTTCATGGGCTGCTTCACGATTGACCACATCCATCCCTTCCTCGACCCGAAGCTGACAGACACGTAAGGCCCCACTGCCTTTTGAAGTGCCTGGAGACTAAAAGAGACAGTTTATTAATTGAGAGACAGAGAATGATTAGATTAAAACCAACACATTCTAAAGGTCCAAGTTAACAGGAAGAGAGACAAAGACAGACAGACGTATACACAGGACATATTTAATGAGAGAGAGAGAGAGAGAGAGAGAGAGAGAGAGAGAGAGAGAGAGAGAGAAAGAGTCTTCCTCAATCAATACAGGCGGTCCCCGACTTATGACGGGATTAGGGACCCAAATCCAAGTCGAAAATTATTAAATAATACATAGAAAATCTAAAATGGGTGTCTCTTTTTCTTCTCAGCACCACAAAACTCTCACTTTTAAGCTTGCCAGTCATTTTAAAGGGAATTACAAACGAAAATTTTGTCAGTACACAGCGCAATCACTAACGTCGGGACTCGAAAATACTTAATTTGACAAAATTTTGGTACGACTGAGGCGGTCGTTTGTCCAGGTGGTCATAAGTCGAGTGGGTCGTAAGTCGATGAGTACCTGTATATAAATTACATATACAGTGAGTTCTGCTATAACGCGTGTTTTGTCAAAGCAAATTGTCTGCAACGCGATTGATGAATAGAAGAACGATATTTGTAAAACGCGAACACGTGTTGGCTGTAACGCGATTCCACTCGAACGGTTTAAGTGTATACAGTATTGTCGCTTGGCGAGGGGTTATGCAGTGTTTACAGTTCACGTTCAACATCACAGACCCATAAGAGAGCAGTTTATTCCCTCACTCTTAGAATTGGTTCGCCCATAATGCTGCACATGATTGGTTAGCTATAAGTTCAACACACATTCATCCACAGAAAAATGGTAAGATTTTAGGTAAAATAATTCAAACAATGGTGACGGTAATCCTCCTGGGAAGAGAGTGGAAGAATAGCATGTATTGTGTCATGCATGTCACACGCACACACACACCTGGCTTATATTTATTATTTAATATTTATATTACTAATGATGAGACAGACACCATTAGAGGATCAAATGAGAATATAATGAATAAATATCATCAAACACGAACACGGCAACAAATAGACCCACCCCTAACGACAGAGAAGAGATTACCCTCTGATTCAGATTGTCTTTTTTTTTTAAGTTAAATTATATATTGTAATTTGTTCTATTATTTAATAGTTTGTGTTATATTACGTGTGATGAAACATACACCATAATAGGCTGATCATACAAGAATACTATATAATTATGAATATATAAAAACAAACTTGCAATCGTGGCAATGGACGGTCTCACCCTCCCCCACCTCCAGCATGTTTACACATCAAGTGTCATCTCGTACCTTTTAGCTCTCATTAGGCCTATATCAAATCTGATTAGACCACTGTACAGTATCCCCATTTAAAGACAATACAGCATATACTGTACTTCAATAACAAATAAGGTTTAACATATTTTATTAAAAATAAATAATTTTTCATGAACTGTCATTGTAGCATTGCATATACCATATATTGCGGCCTATAAGTCGACCTTTGAAGCTCCAATGACAAGGGGGCGTCTTATACAACGAGTATAAAATGTTAACCTCTACGTATGCTCCACCACTAGCATCAGATCTTTAATTTACCTTACTGGTAGGTCTCAGTCACTTAATTTCCAGCACTCATAAAGTTTTACTGAACTGCAGCACTTTTCCAGAAAGTAACTGTTACTGAACTCAGCCTAAGCTCAGTGTTTACAATTGTCATATTATGGGAGTTCCTACACATACCAACACCATTCAGTGTTAACTACGGTTTCTTACAAACAAACATTACTAGAGCACCAGGATTTTGTAATGTTTATATGAATGTGGTGTAAAAATGTAAACAAGGCAGAAGCCTGAGAATGGCTGGTTGGCCTGCAGCAGCTCGGTCAGTGTTGCCAGCACTTGTTCGTGAATGTCACTAGATTCATCCCTAGAGTTGCTACAAAGTTGCTAAATATATAAAAAAAATCTGGAGAAATACTGGTACATATAGAGTTAAGATATTATTTAAATTGACTAATTGTTAACAATGACTTGGCTAAATGCCAAAAACTGTCTCAGGTGGCATTAAGGGTAGACAGTGAAAACAACACTAAACTGACAACTATGAGGTAAACAGATGGACGACCACTTTCTCCCCGTTATACAATAGTCCTCGCACTCTACATGTATTTATTTATATGTACCAGTATTATTATTATTATTATTATTATTATAACTAATATTATTATCTATTTATACAGTAGAGGGGGTCCTCGTTATCCATGGTTAATTGGGACCAGAAAAACGCCCCTGATAACGAGTCCATTTAAAGCGGGGAATTAATCCCATAAGAAATAATGGAAATAGGTCAAATTGGGACCATGACATTGCACACGACACTCAAAAACATTTTATATAATATCTTTTAACAATTATTTACTTTAGAAACACTTGTTAAACATTTGATAACACAATATTTAAAGAAATTATTTAACTTTATAAGTTAACTAACGTCCTCAAAATTCATTGGGGTCGGTGTGTTGAGACAACATAGGTTGTGCCTACCGTTGCTGGTGCACACCCACTTAGTGGTTCATTGAGACAAAATACTTATTATTATGATTTAAAAATAAATAATTTTAACAAAATGCTTTTATTTACTTAGCTTCAAAGGTAGATTGTGATTGTGTGTGTGTGTGTGTGTGTGTGTGTGTGTGTGTGTGTGTGTGTAATGTTGGAAGGTGTGTGAGTGGTGTTGGGGTGTGTGGGTGGTGTTGGGGTGTGTGGGTGTGTGTGTGTGTGGGGTGTGTGGGTGGTGTGTGTGTGGGGTGTGTGGGGTGTGTGTGTTGGTGGGTGTGTGTGGGTGGTGTGTTGGGGTGTGTGGGTGGTGTGTTGGGGTGTGTGTGTGGGGTGTGTGTGGTGTGTTGGGGTGTGTGGGTGGTGTGTTGGGGTGTGTGGGTGGTGTGTTGGGGTGTGTGCAGATTGCATCTCTTAAAATACAAATTTAAGGGTCATTGGGGGGGGGGGGCTAATGAGGGGCCGCTTAGTGCAGCAAAAGTCTAGACAATTGGCAAGTCCTGATCCCCTTTCCTCCAAAATTGTCCGGACTTTTGAGGGTTTAATGTATAATCAATAATTATGATAATTAGCAACTTACTAACAATTTACGATAATTACCAGGGGCGAGACGGGCCCAAACGATGCACTGAATCGTCGAACTCGAGGCTGTGTTCCCTGGATGTCACCCAAGGCTCCTTCTCTGTAATGGTAGTAGTAGTAGTAACTGTCTGTACAAGCTGAACTGTATACCTGCATTGTCTATATACCCTGTACATGCTTGACTAAACATATACTATACTCATATTGTACTCAAATTAATTGCTATATTGCAAGGAATCCAGCAATGCAAGTTATATTCTGCTAAGTCAAGTCTGTTACATTTTTAAGAGAAAACTTTAAGCCAAAAACAACCTTCATTCCCATTAATTGTTATCACCCACCGCCAGTTGTGCCTCCCCTGCTGGCTGGGTAGAGGGGGAGGGGGAAGTAGGGTGTTGACAGCCAGGAGGGGAGATTAATGCATACAAAGTTGTCAGGGACTCCAGGATTATAAAAAACAAGGAGTTTAGGTTTTTTGCTTATAAAATGTCACTGACTTGACTTAGCAGAATACAAATTGCATTGCTGAAATTCTTGAAAGATAGCGATTAATTTGAGTATAAACTTCCCATAGTTTGCACTAGACATAAAAAATGAGTACAGTAATTAACTTAGTACATTTGGGTACTAGTTGTTATAAATTATGAGGTTGCTCATCAGTTGTGGTTGCAGTTTCAAAGCTTTGTGACATCACTAGTGTATAATGCATCTCCATATGCCCTGGTTTATTCAATGATCGGTTGTGTAAGCACAAAAATAGCCAAATCGAGCCATCACGTATCAATTAATTTAAAAAAATAAATTATAAAGTAAATTTTATAAGTCAATGGTTTAGTAGTGCTGTTAATGTGTGTACTGTTTAAGTGTCTTGGCGTGTCACGTCAGCTCGGAATTACATTGATTTATTACAGTATTATTTTACTTTTTTAGTAATGTATGTACAGTAAAACCTCGCTAAGGCGGACTAATTGGGGGGAGGGGTGTCCTGGATAAGAGGTTGTCCGGCTTAGGGCAAGTTTTTCCAAAATGACCTCCATTTTAAACAAAAATCGAGAACAACACCATTGTATCCATTTTTTTTGAAAGAAATACATGTTTTTTAATAAAAATTAATAAAAGAAAGTAATGCACACAAAGCACTGTACACTTACCCCCCAAAATGGAAGACAGATCAAGCTGGACATGCCTCTCACTGCAAGAGGCTTGCAGTCACTCTGAGTATGAGCACTTTGAAATTCCATATTCAGCCCATATTTGTGAGTCATCTTACAAGAAATTATGTCTTTTTTCTTTTTTCCAGATAATTTTGTTCGGCTCAAGAGGGGTCCGCCTTGCGGGGTCCGCCTTAGCGAGGTTTTACTGTACATTTAAAGAAATATTTATATTTGCACAGTAATGATAAACAGACAAAGAGCAGAAAAATCCAGAGATACCCAAGCAGTTGGTCTTCCCACCCACGCACCAACCATGGGAGGATGTGGCTAAACATGGTGCATTCTTTCATAATGTTTGGGGTGATTTACAGATTTTACAATTTTTTTTGTTGAATTTTCAGAAAATTATCCTGATTTTCAACCCCGGAATTTGTTCCCGAACCCAAAATTTAGGGAATATACATTTCTTTACACACAAGTTAACTGGCTCAGTGAGGGAGGGGAAAACGGTCACAGAGTGTGTGGGGGGGGTAAGGGGGGTTTGCTAAGGAATCGACATCCCAGATGGTCTTCATTACTATGGTGAAACAGGGAGGGTATGCAAATGGCGACTGTGTTAAACTTTCATTTGGCTTTTATTTACTGATTTGACAACACAATATTTTTTGCTGGTAATATTTTTATTTATTCCTCACATTTCCTGGTACGGTATATACTATTTTAAGAAAACTATGGCCACGTTCGTAAGTCGGGGACCCCCTATACTTGCATTGTCTAAATACTGTACATGCTGAACTATACTGTATACACTGTCCATATACATACTGAACTGTATATACAGTACAGGTACTTGTATTATCTATAGCTATACATGCTAAAGTGTATAACTGCATTGTCCATATACTATACCTGTATATGTAAACTTGTATGATGATTTAACTGAATTATTGTTATTATTATTTTTATTATTATTATTAGGAAATACAATGTTTCTCTGAATATTGCAATTTCCTTGTGTATTAAATTTTAAGTAACTAAATTTAGCTTAACCTAACCTAACTTGACATATCTTAATGTAACTTAAACATGACCTGATTAACTTATCTTAATATGATTTAACCAAACTGAACCATAACATAGCCTAATTTAAGACATCCTAACCTACTATAATTTAACCTTCATTATGATGATGCCACTTTTAATATTTTATTTGGCTAATGCCAGACAATTTTATTCAGCTCAAGGGAAGCCCATACAAAAGGGATTAATAGATTATATCCACTAACCTACCATAAACTTAACCTCCCTTAACCTAACCCAACCCAACTAGTCCAAACTTAACCTAACTTGACATAAATCATCCTAACCTAACCACACCTTGAGGCAGAAGTCGAGGGTGGGTTGGATACAGCTCCCTGTGGCACCAATTGGTTAATCATCGGAGCACTACTCGACCGCTTCAGCTTGTTGCCACTTGACATAACAGCTTGACTGCTGGAATGAGTTGATGACGAACTGCCACCACAACCCTCGCTGTCCGACACACTCGCTCCGCTGAGATCAACATCCATCGTTGGTTCTGGCCTGGGGTTCCCCTCACCACCCTAGCCTATGAGGGATGGTAGATATTATATATATACAGTACTGTATACACTATATATATATATTGGGTTGTATGAGTTAAGTCAAAAGGTTAAAAAAAGAAAAACCATCAATCTAAATCAGTTTGGTTTTTATATGTAAAATGTAAAAGGAATGAAGTAAAAATTAAACAATTGTTATAAACTAACCAGCCAAAGAAACAAACTATCTTATGCCTAGTATGTCACAGCAGCTTACATAATTAAATGCAAAAAAACTTTCACTTTCATAATGTTCACCAGTCCATGTTCTCACAACAGAAATTACAATATTTATTTTGTATGTGAAACAACAAATACAAGTTTAAGATATGCAACTTCACTTTGCTTACCTTACATGTATACAGTACTGTTGAAACATGTAGGGGTTGTGGTTAAGTAAGAAAGGCACTGATAACTTGTTTTGGTTTACTTCACAGTTGCAAATACATTGTACAGTATAAAAAATAAACCAAAACCAACTAAATCACAACACTATTGGATACAACATAACATTTAATATTTATAGAAATCAAACACTACCGTTTCTTTGTCTTTGCTACATTACATATTGCAAACAACTGGCTGTGATTTAATTAAACATCTTCGTCACCATGACCAGTGTCTGCATTCAAATACTATAAAAAAAAAAAAAAAAAGTTTAGCTGCTTTTTCTGTACCAAGGTGGTTCCTTAGTTTCCAATGAACAAGTACATAGTAGGAGAAGACTGGAAACAGTAGTCAGTTAACAGGGGAATTTTTAGAATTTTTTACAAATCAGATTGAAAAAAAAAATTAAATGAAATAATATCTTTTTCAATTAAAAAAATAATCAACAACCCTGGATTATATATAGATAAATATATAGATAGATATACACTAGATAGATAGATAATTAGTTAAACAGAAAGATATATAGATAAACAGATAGGTAAAAAGATATACCAGTACACTGTATACTCACTTTTAAGCAGATACCGATTCTTAGATACTTTACCGATGCCGATACTTTGATACTTTACCGATACCGATACTAATAGAAAACTTAAATTATTTAAACATAAGAAACAAGCTTAATGATGGCTAACTACAGTAGTGATATCTCTGTTAGCCGGAACAATTGGTGCAGAGCACTTCCGGGAATAAGAGATTTCCGGGTAACGAGACGACTCTCTCAAAGCCGGAAAAAATCCCTCATCCCCGAAATTTTCCAAAATTTTCCAGGTAACGGAAAAATGTTCTTTGAAGTTCAAGAAATTACCCATTACATCATCTCTCGAACCCAGAAAAATATCCCTCATCCCTGGAAATTTCCGGGTAACGGAAAAATTTTCTCGGAAGTTCCAGAAATTGCCCATTACATCACCTCTTGAAACAGGAAAAATATCCCCCATCCGCGAAATTTTCCGGGTATCAGGAAATTTTTCTCTTGATTTTCCGGAAAATGTACCTCTCAGAAAATCGTTCCCAAAGCCGAAATTTTCCGGAAAATACAGGCTTTGGGAACGATTTTCCGAGAAATATTCAATTCCGGCTAATAGAGAGTTCCGGGTTTGAGGGATTCCGACTAATGGAGATATTACCGTACTCGTATATGTATGAGATAAGATCGGCCGATGAAACAGAAATCTTAATTTTATTCTGAATGTAAAATATACATCTGCTCGGGACTCAGGGTGTGCAGTAAGACTCTGGAATCTCCTTTGTAGAAAGTGAAAAGCATTTGTATTTTTTTTATTTCCTTAGCAAATTTAATTTGAAATTGAAAAGAAAAATTACACATGTGGTGCCACGCCACACAGGTATGAATAATACACAAAATAGAAAATTCTTCCCACTATATTGAGGAACAAACTACAGGTACAGTAAACTCCTGATAACTCGGCATGGATGTGATCTCGCAATGTATTAGTATAACTCGGGAAATGCCGAGACATGTAAAATTATCTGGGAAAATCTCGGCATATCTGACCACCTGCATCACCTACCATAGCTCTGTGTCACCTACCATGGCTCTGTGTCACATACCAAGCAACTGTGTCTCTTACTATGATGCTTCATTCTTCGCCTGCAGTGCTTGTTTGTGTTACATTTTTACATTTCGTAATTGTACACATACATAGGTCGATAATTTTTTATTGTTGCATTTTTGTAGGGGGGAAGGGGGGGGGCAGAAGTGCCTCAATAAGACGGAATTTGTGATAACTCGGCAAGGCCAGAGCCCCGTATGTGCCGAGTTATCGAGGGTTTACTGTAGTTCCAAAACTTCTACAGTATTTATGACTTGGTATGAATTTCTGCTTCTGATATAACTCATTATGTAACTACGTATCAATATTCCAGTTTTAAGTACATTTAAATAAAAGTAGCTAAAGCCAAATTAGCCAAATTTGTAACTCTGGACTTTGAAATTTATATGACTGAAGATAAAAGCAGTTATAAGTCTTCAAAACCACATTTACAGAACCAAGAAACGAAGACATAAGGTAGGTAAAGTACAATCAGTAGTAACCTTATTATTAACTTACATAAGGAAGCATTGTACCAAGTTTGAAGTATTTTCAAATCTTATTCCATTTTAACAAATTATTGAAAGCCTTATACAATAGAGAGACTAGCAGTAACTTAACTAGAAAAGCTTAAAATATTCAATTTTTGGCTAATTATTGAAGAAAGCAATACAATAGAATCTCAAGTTTAGCGAGTTTTAGATTCGCGATTCATATGTTTCACGTCACTTAAAATTTCCAGCCTCTCAAGAATAGTGATTTTCATTACCAGTTTCGCAAGTCATTGTCGAGTGGAAAGCACGCACTGTCACGGTCTTTTGTTATCCATCGACCCGCCGAGTGTTTTTGTTTACGGCGCAACAGCAGTTAGTTTGAATGAGCAAGCGAAGCAGTGACCTTCGATTATATAACCCATTGTGCTTACGTTTTGCGAGATTCTTCTTTAACTATTAAAGATTCTTTGTATTCACGATTCTTGTGCCTCAGAGATTCTTGTGTATTAACAATTCTTGTGCATTAACGATTCTTGTGTATTAAGGATTCTTGTGTATTAACGATGAGTAAAGTGTGTAATGTAAATGTCGGGAGCGGTTCTGGTGGTAATGATGGCCATAGAGAAGGTCAACAAGGAAAACCCCAAGCCAAGTGTGACTACCGTAAGGGGGTCAAGAAGAGGATATACAGTACACCCCTAATGAAACGAGAGATGCTGGAAATGACCAAAAGTGGTGCTCGTACCTGTGACATCATACGTAGGTTCAACTGCCCTGAATCAACCATACGTTCCCTTAAGAAGAACAAGGAAGCCTTAACTGCTTTTGTGAATGTATTCTCAAGATTTTCTAGTAGCAGGACGTTTGCATATACTTCAAAACGAAACCTACTGCTTGTTATCACAGAACATTACCTTCACAAGTGGGTGGAAAGAAAAAACCGTACCACAGAAGAAACGCGTTAACTCTACACCATCGTTCAATGCTTCTGTTGGTTGGTTGGCTGCCTTTAAGAAGAGTTATTAAAGGAAATGTTATTATACTCCGAGTCTTCTTAGTCTAATTAAGGTAAGCACTACTGAATCCAAAACTTAAAATACTATAAATTGCTGGATAACCGAAGCGATAATTTTAACTAGGTTAGGTTAGGTTTTGTTGGGTTAGAATTTCCTTTTTTTGTGATTTTCTCTTAAAGTAGTCATGAGTGGAAGAAATACCATAGAAGAAGTCTTACAATTGTCTAAACTACTGTACTGATTCCAAAACTTAAATCCTAGGTAAAAATCGCTGGATGACCGAAACGATAATTTTACCTTATTTTAATTGATTTACGGGGTAATACTTACATGGTTTTTCCATATAGTGCCTTAACATGTGACAAAAATGAAGAACTTAGCAAATAATTAAGAAAAAGACGATATTATTCTCAAGAAATCGTTGGTGCCAGATCCTATAGGACATGAGTGGACCTTATTTTATAGATTTTAGGGTATAATTGTACGTTATTTTAGGGTCTACTGAGGTAAAATTACGTGATTTTTCATATTTTAACCACAGAAATGGAAGAAAATGGAAGACTTACGGAATAATGACGAAAATTGCCATTATTGACGAGATCAAAATGTAAACATAAAGTTGGATGTGTTCTAGCTTTTGATTGGTCGAGCCGCCAAGCCGCCAGCCAATCATCGTTCAGCTCTCACGTGACGCAGAAGCTTTAAGGGATCACTAATATAAATGTTTATACGCAGAAGATTTATAAACGTTTACTTTCTGTATCTTTTAATTTTTAAAAATATATGATATCTATAATATTGTTAAATATCGTTCATAACTCTTATTTAATTTCGATAACATGACAGAATATTTCCTTTCGAACGCGGCTATATTTTACTGGATCGTTAACCGTTTGGGTGGTCGGTCATGTTACCTCATGTCAAGTACTGGTCATGAACTGACTACTGAATATATCGGAACTTGCTCCAGTGATGGTCAAATCTAGCCTTGAAAGAGCTGACACTCGGTCCTGCCGCAACACTCTGGAAGATTGTTACCAGAGTTCATAATTCTCACTCCGAAAAGGTTTGCCCTCACTGATTTCTGGACCTGTAGCTTCTTTAACCTTGAGCTGTGACCCCTTGTGGGGCGGGCGTTCGCCAGCTTTAGGTGTGTTATACACTTGGATTAGGTCGCTCCTTCCCCGTTTGTAGTATAAGCTAGGCAGCTGCAGGCGTTCTGATCTCTCTGGGTAGCTGAGGTCCCGTATAGTCACCTGTATCATATGTGACATGTCTCGCTACCACTGCTCAATACACGTGCAACATTGTAGATAATTTCAGCTCCCTCCAGCTGAGACACGGGTACGGAGTCTGCCAAAGGCTTGAGATGCACCTCTGATCCCATGTTAAATCTCCTCATCCATGTCGGGTTAGGGTCATCTCGTACCCAAGATAAATCGGACCCAGAAAAGTTAACTCGTTCCCAACTCACGAAATAGTCGTACCCAAGATTACTTGCACCCAATTCAAGAGTTAATCCATACCTATTACTGCAGTGGCGGTGTAGCAGTTAAAAGTGAAGTCTAGGTGAAAATGAAGTGTTTGCCCAACATATCGTACGGCACTCCCGGCAGAACGCTCTGAGATTCCGTGGTGAGCAGAGCTGGTGAGTGGCGAAGACAGCATTATAATAATAATAATATTCGACTTCCATGCATATGGATGTATAATAATTAAATTAATTAATTGAGTTGTTGGAAATGAAAATGCAGTGAAACCAGAAATATTATAAAATATAGATAATAAAGGGAAATAAATAAATACCAGTCCAGTGCATAAGTGATATAATAGGCTAGTAAGCTCTAATAATGCAATTAATTAATTTAGTTTTTAAAATTTAATTTACTGGTAAACATAAAAGTCTTCAGTTTTTGTTTTTTTTTGTGAAAGTTAAATAGCAAATTCGATGGTGTGCAGAATGAACCTGGTAGAGGTGTGGTTATATTAGTGAGGAATTCTCTTATTTCTCTTGTAGACAATGTAAATTTCTTGAATGATCATTTGTATGATAAAACAGTATGGTGCGATATCATGAAAAGGAAAAATATACTATTGGTGCTGTGTATAGGGCTTCTATTACAAGTTGTGAGAAGAATCTTTTATTGAATTACCTAAGTTGTTTCCTTTCCTCATGGACGTAATGTTAAATCTCCTTGTTTTGCTCTACTAAGATACTATTCCTGTTGTAAATATGTCTTTTCGTGGATGTTTGAACAATCCAAACGTATTCTGCGAGGCTTGACTACGACGTTTTTTTTTTTCCATAAGTAGTATGTTAGCCAGTCTACAGGGGGGGGGGGGCATCGAGACAGTGTTGTACTGTTCATCGCCTCACGACCCAAAACCACATTTTTTGTAGTATCCCCTAGGTCATGGGTTAGTTAGACGTCGTCCCACCCTCTCCCTCCTGAAGGGAATGGGATACCTCACAGAGTCCTCCACCGCCTCCCCGTCCTGTGGACCGTCAGTGACACGAGACTAAGTGTGCTAACCTAGGTTGTTATCCCCGTGAAAAAAATCACGTGTGGATGCCTGGTTGCGACAATAGCAATCCTGGCTGACCTCTCAAACCTACCGTAAATGGTTTATCAAGTCACGCTTACAGAGTTGTCCTGCCCGACACCCTTCTACAGTGACCGTGATCGACACTACTAGATTAGGTGTGATTTAAAAGTTGAGCGGTGGCATGATCCCTCTCATGTGGGTGTATCGATCTTCTGAAGAATGTTACTGTTAGGATAGAAAATATTCCTAATTCAGTTGATAAGCTTTTATTAAAATAGTTTTTGGTATACTAAATATAACATAATATTGAAAAATAAATGAACCTTGTCTTTTGTTTATGGCACACTATATCTTTTTTTGTTTTATAATTTGCATGTCGTACGTCTGCTTGTGGGTTAAGACAAGTCTTCTGGTGTGGTCTGGGAGTTGATTTGGGGGTTTGGAATTGATCTCTGGAAGGCTTGGAATTAATTTAGGTAGATTCAGATTTAATTTGGAAAAGTTTAAAGTGTGTTATCTTTAACAGCTGGAAAATGTGTAGTGATGGGAAGTGTGTGTGTGTAGTGATGGGAAGTGTGTGTGTGTGTGTAGTGATGGGAAGTGTGTGTGTGTGTGTGTGTGTGTGTAGTGATGGGAAGTGTGTGTGTGTGTGTAGTGATGGGAAGTGTGTGTGTGTGTGTGTGTGAGTGATGGGAAGTGTGTGTGTGTGTGATGGACGTGTGGCGATGGAACATGTTGATGTGTGATGTGTGTGTGTAGTGATGGAAGTGTGTGTGTGTAGTGATGGGAAGTGTGTGTGTAGTGATAGGACGTGTGTGGCGATGGAACATGTTGACTGTGTTTAGTGATGCGATGTGTGTGTAGTGATGGGAAGTGTGTGTGTGTGTGTGTGTGTGAGTGATGGGAAGTGTGTGTGTGTGTAGTGATGGGAAGTGTGTGTGTGTGTGTGTAGTGATGGGAAGTGTGTTTAGTGATGGGAAGTGTGTGTAGTGATGGGAAGTGTGTGTGGTGATGGGAAGTGTGTGTGGTGATGGGAAGTGTGTGTGGTGATGGGAAGTGTGTGTGTGTAGTGATGGGAAGTGTGTGTAGTGATGGGAAGTGTGTGTGGCGATGGGAAGTGTGTGTGGCGATGGGAAGTGTGTGTGGCGATGGAAAATGTTGACTGTGTTTAGTGATGAGAAGTACTGATTATGTGAACTGATAGGGTAGTGATGTCCTCTTGGTTATTATTGTGGGTAGTGATAGGTTATTATTGTGGGTAGTGATAGGCTATTATTGTGGGTAGTGATGTCCTCTTGGTTATTATTGTGGGTAGTGATGTCCTCTTGGCTATTATTGTGGGTAGTGATGTCCTCTTGGTTATTATTGTGGGTAGTGATGTCCTCTTGGTTATTATTGTGGGTAGTGATGTCCTTTTGGCTATTATTGTGGGCAGTGATGTCCTCTTGGCTATTAATGTGGGCAGTGATGTCCTCTTGGCTACTATGGTGGGCAGTGATGTCCTCTTGGCTATTATTGTGGGCATTGATGTCCTTTTGGCTACTATGGTGGGAACTTACGGGAACTGATGACTTCTGGGGTATGAAGGGTTTCGCTGGGGCACTGGGAGTTGAGGCAGGCAGTTAGCGAAGACCATTTACCATTGTTGTCATTCTGCAGGCGAGTATATCTGAGAAATAAATAATGTTAAAAAATGAGGACGGTAGATATGGAATAATGGATAAGATTAGAAGTTTAAAGTTGGATTGAAAGAAAAGGCCGTGAATGAAAAAGCTTAAATGTAACGGTAGGGTAATAATTGAGAAAGCGGGATATCTTGACTGAAAAAGAACGAAATATATTGGTAACGAATACTGGAGAAAAGGAAATAAATGGAAAAATTAAGCAAGATCAGGAGAGCCTGATGATAAACTGAAGAAGGACGGTATGGTATAATGATGAAATGGATTATGGCTTATAAATGAGAAACGGGTGAAATCATCCTTTCGAAGAGGTACCCTTTAATTTGACTCCCTCACCCAGACAGTGTTCAGTTTGCTTGCTAGACACAAGTCAGTTTTACCAACTGATCGAATCCACCTTATGTTCTGGATGAGGCAGTTGTCGCGTGGCTTTTGAGTCTAGTCTTCATCTCTCAAGGTTCTATAAATTCCAACACCAAGCTTTGCCTTACCTATACAGTGAACCCTGTATGCAAATGCTGTGTGTGTGGTACCGCTACTATGTGATAACCAGGAGCTCATTTCCATATTGATTTATAAAACCGCTATAGGAGGGAAGAAATAAAAACGAGTTCACCATTTAAGTTACACAGATTCCTTCCAATGCTAAAAAGAATAGTGGGGCAGATATATAACAAAATTTTCAAGAATTATGGGGTTTTTGGTAAAATTGCGAAAATTTATTAGTCTCATATCTTCGGCATATGCTCATATGTGATACCTGAATACTGACGCAGCTATGGCCACCTTGGATTTTTCCCATCTATGGGCTTCAGATGAAATATTCAGCTTGGTACTATATCTGGAATCATTTAGTACATATTAAACATGATCTGTTCCATTGTTGAGGCTTTTACCACAAAACCCACAAGCTTTACACAAATACCCCACTAGAAGGGGACGCATCTACTGTACTTCGGAAAAAGAAGGGAATGTATCTTTTTCATTGCTAATTTAATATTTTTCCTGAAAATTTTGACCAGGAATGTGTCGTAAAGTTTCGTAAGTACGTCATTGGTAAAATTAAGGTTCGAATTGTGTTGCTTAACCGAACATTGTATGTTCCAAGATTTAAGTGTAAATTAATACATACAGGAATCAATGTACTGAAAAATATATAAACAGAGAAAAAAACGTACTTAAAAGGTTGGAATGATGTCGATGAGACAGATGCCGCTCTCCGGGGTGAGTTACTACCACCGAGGATTGCTCTGTCTCCCCACGAGGTCCCACCTTCTGCTACACTTCTGGTCACTGGCCTCTTACAGCTTGCTCCTTTACTCTCTAAGGGTAACTTGCTTTCTGTTTTCTTAATATCCAGCCTCCTCTTAGTCTCTGGGGTGGGCCAAAGGAAGGGAGATGACCCAAGGAACATCTGGGAAACTCGTCTTAAGACAGGACCAACAAACCCTGACGGTGATTGTTGTTGACCCCTAGGCAGGCTGGGCTCGGACCTGACCAGCTCCTCAAGCATTGGCTTCTGAAAGAGATATGAGAATCACACAGTAGTGACAGTAGCAAACATCTTCTGTTTAATTTGATCTTTATCTATCTATCTACCTATCTGCCTGTTTATTGATCTAAGTCTTTCTTATCTATATATTTATCCATGCATCAGTCTTTTACTATACGTCTAATATTTCATTCCTTCTTCAGTGGGGAAGATCAGGTACAGCCAGGGGTGTGCCGCCAATTTTTAACAACCGTTTCTGATTTAGATAGTGGTGTAAATCAGCGAGCGCTAATGGTGCGAGCCATGAAGCTGGGGGTCTGGGAGCTCCTCCATCAGGGTCCGGAGAAGCCCCTAAGCCTGCGCATTTAAGCTTATTCAAACGGCATTTTGTAACATTTTGGCAGAAATTATTTATACTCACATGACATAATTATCTGATCTTGGTAGTGTTCAGATCAGATGGATGGTTGAGGTGTGGTCTTTACAATGTAACAAATTCGATTAATTGTTAATAGTGCAGTCTATGGGCTGTCTGAGCAGTTGCCATTTGCTATAATTTTAAATACGCGAGTGATTAATTTCGTAATGTTTTAGTGAAACAAGATTGATCTCAAATTTTGATTTGATGGCAATGATATGTATTTGGTGAACCAGTCAGGCAGTCAGTGGGTGGGGACGAGTTGGCCAACTTGGCGGTGAATGAAGTAGACCTCATGAGCGAATAGTTCTGGTATATACCGAGGAATTTTCCTATAGAAACTAAATACGGGAAATAATAATACCATACATCAGTAATTGTATTTAAAATGTAAGGTTCTTGCGGAACAAAAAATGCATTAGGTTATTGTCTAAGTGATTCTTACAAAAAAAAAAACTTGCTCTAATTTGTGTGACATGTAGTAAGGTAATACAAAGGAAAATAAGGGTTTGTTTGCAAATTTCAAGATAAATTTCTTCTGACGTAAATATTTGTTAAAAATCAACAAACAGTTCGGCGATCCAATCCAAATTTAACGACCGGTTCGGGTGAACCGGACCGAACCGGTCCCAGGACACCTCTGGGTACAGCCACTTCCACTTCGAATTGTTACAATCAGCATTGTCAGTCCACCCCCTGTCTTGAAATTGAAATACTTTATTGACAATAAAAAAAACTATTACATCAAAAGGGCAGGGTAGTATACTACTCCCACCCTCACCTTCTGGGGCTTTCAAAAAGTTATAAATGTTATAACAATACAAGAATAATCTTTACAGCAATGAAATATTGACATGAACACTGTACTAAATTAAAAGAACAGATTTTTATACATTGCAAGAATTACTTTATTTTTTTTCCATTATTAATCATCCAACAAACTTGTTTCTTTAAAGTAGTGATCTCACTGTTCCTGTATGGTTGGATTTGTTCACATCCTAATACATAATGTTGTATTATATGTGCATCCCTAAGACGACACAGTTGACCTGCCCCTCCACTTATCTGCCAGTAATATTTGTATCCCAATCTTAGTCTCATTATAACAGTGATACGTCACAGTTATGCTGACGGCAAATACTAGCAATTTCGATCTTCCCTTATCATTACACTCTAATGCTTGCCATGTTCAAACTCTCTTCAAATTTGAAAACTAAGACTTATACTAACATTCATAAATATCGTAGTTCGGGAGATTATAGGCAGTCTCATGGTGGCCGGTTACAGTGTGCACCTGCATGTAAAAATATGTCTTACATTGACAATAAATGCGGATGTTCTGGTGAGAACCTTTCCTGACATTACACCCCTGTTTTATCACAAATAAGAAGGGTTGTTTCACATGCAAACTCTCAGTAGCAATTCTGTAATCTACCTTCGTTTTTCTCACGATTCATTTAGTAAGAGAAGGTCATCTGCAAACATGTGGTTATTTAAATATTGTCCATTCATATTAATCTTTAATACAAGTGCATACCCATATTCCTAAATCCTATTCACTCTCTTCCATCACCATTTATTGACCACATGTTGAAACGACTCATGACAACTACATCAGCACAAAACTCAGTGACGCCCACACCTCCACCCCCCAACCTTCCCCCTCCCTCCGCGACACACACATTGTCACCAGATAAATGAGTGTCTGCATGTTGCTTCGAATTTCCTAGTCTCACATTCACGTGGTTAACATTTGTGGGTGAGAGTCTAACGTGGAAATATCCGGGACTGTACATTGCGGAAATGTGTTCCTTCATCCCCTGTGGTAACCCGTTTCTCCAACAGCAACGTTGCAGTAGTAGTAGTATCACCTTTTATGAATGAATGGGTATTGGTCGTGTATAATGACGGACATGACGTGATTGGTAGATGGGTTTGCTATAGGGAGTATGGGTCATATAGGTTAGCCGTTTGGAGACACGGGTTACCACAGGGGTGTAGGAACACATTTCTGCAACTGTACCACACTCTAATGTAGAGTCAGGATTACAAGTTCGCTCCCTCCCAAACTGAAGAAGTATCGAACCCAAATGAGATAAAACAGCACACCCGCACCAGATGACAGTCAGGGTAAGCAAGTTTGGAGACTAATTCCCGTGACTCAGTAAAACATGCCCTAATGTACACACCATCAAAAAAGTATCAGGGCACATTTAGCACGAAACAATCTGACACCACAGGTGATGGATATTGCAAAATGCCATATCGCTTGCTAGTGACATTTCCTCCCTTATTAAAAGTAAGTACTGTATTATTATATACACATAACAGAAGAAAATAGATAAATATTGTGAATAATGTGTAGCGTGGTTCCTGTTGGTAGTTACGTTGCGCCGTAGGTGCACTGATCATTCAGAAAGTCATCGTACCCAATGTGCACAGATATTTCTTTGATCATGTATACCACACAACCTATTAGATAGATTTCTTCATTTTGCTCACCTTTATATCTATATATATTTTATATAGGAGTATAATATAGAATTTATAGCAGAGCTTTGCTGATTTTCATTCAGGAAAGTTGTATTGAGATCGACTGGGTTCTGGAGTTTTTTTCGTATATGTGTGAAGATTTGTAAGTTTGTCCATTAGATTTCACTGAGATAGTACAATAATTGACATAGGAAATGGAATAAGAATTGACCTGTGGGATGGGCGAGGCAGGAGAAACATCCCCGCAGGACTTGGAGAGGTGGTCCTGGGGGTTGGTGAGTCCTCGACGGGTGTGGAGTAAGTGATTGGAGCCACACACACACGGTGTTGCCTTCACTGTGCTGTTGTCTACTGAAATGTACCGATTCTTGGATCACATCCTCAATTGGTGTTCTTATCTGTACTAAATCATGGCAGGTAAATTCATTGCAACAAACAGTACACAAAAAATAACATTATTAATAACTTCAATAACTGTCATACTGTTAAGAGAAGTATTGAATCACCCTAACACTAATCTATCCTAACCTAACCTCACCCAATTAACCTAACCTATCCCAACATAACCTAACCTAGCTAAACTTAACCTCACCTACCGTAACCAAATTTATCCCCCAGATAGCATTATGGTGTCTAATCTTCAGGTAATCCTAAACATGTAACATGTGTTTCCTGTTCACAACACATATATTTATGATAGACAATAATAACCTACCGGGGGTGAAGACACTCTCGCTGCTACTGAAGGAGGCCTTCCTCGCCAGCCGCTGTAGGTAAGGTTTGGTCAGTGGGCCGTCCTGCTGCTGCTGCTGTATCAAAAGATTCCTTAAGTGTTACAGAAATACCACACTTCTGATACTTAACCCAAATATTATAATCCTCAGTTCTTCATTCAACAACAATTTAACATTTTAGTTTAGTTTCACATACTGTACTGTACCTTCATCTATCACGGAGTTTTCACTTTCTTTGTCTCGCCTTTGATTTGAACTATTTTTACATACTTACAACCATCGTTCTTCCTCCTGGACCAAAAGGTCAACATCAACAAGCTACATTTGGTGTTACACTAAAGGAGTCATATTTAGCAATGAAGTAGTGCAAGCATCACCCACATGGCCACAGTTAGAGGTTGTTCAATTATTATGATGCTTGCCTCAAATACTGTATTGTTACGTTGATTTTTAGTTTCATCTCATTGTTTCCAATGATGTTCAGTTGTTTTAAGTCGTCATAGATTTCTATTGTAATAAACTGAAAAGTAGTCTAAGTGAAGACACCTGGTTGTTTGTCACGGAGATACACATGACATTGTCTGCCGTACATCCATCAGCGTGACCTGCTTACCTTCCAATACTTATCATACCTCAGAAAATTTCATTAAAAGAGCAAGGCACACAGGTCTATTATTTTCAGTACACAAATGAATTAAATGATAAGGATAAATGTACTTATCATTCCCAACCTAAAACATTTTCGATAGCAACAAAATTTACAATGTGTGTAAAGTAAGATTCAGTGTCCCATACTTCATTATTTGTAACATCAACAAATCTACTCACAATATTATGTCTTCTTGAAAATAGGCTGTAGGCGGCAGGACGGGTGCTGCCGCTGGAATATCCCCAGGTGCTGGAGGGGCTCAGGTGAGGGCTTCCAGGGAAAGGGGAGAGACTACCAGTACAAGACGACACACTACTCGCCCGTGATGACACAGACCGAGTGTTGACGGAAATGTTGACACAGTTGGAGACCTTGGAAGGGGTGTTGCTGTTGGAGGGGACGATTTTACTGGAGGGAGAGAGAGAGGAGCTGCTTGGCCATAGATTCATCAGATTGGAGGGCACCATGGTGGAATATGGTGAGCAGGCAGGGGAGGCGCAGAGGTTGTGGTCGTTGGTGTGTTGGGTGGTGGGTGTTGGCGGAAGGTGAGGGCCGTCCCTACAGGCTGTCATTGTCTCCTCGCCCGTCTCTCTCTCCTGGATCTCTTCTGCCAGTAAGAAAAAATACAAAAAGGACATAGGTGACACTGCAGCATGTACTGTACCCCCCTACAGCATGAACTGTACCCCCAACCAGCATGTACTGTACCCTAGATCAGCATGTACAGTTGCCATACTAGACCCATTAATCACCCACCAGAGCCATATTAGACGCCTTCTTCACCCACCAGAGCCATACTCAATGCCTTACTCACCCATGAGACCCATACTGGAAGCATTACTCATCCACCAGCCACACTAAACGCTTTCCTTAGATACGTCTTACTCACCCACCACAGCCATACTACAAGTCTTATTTACCCAGCAGAGCCATACCAGATGCCTTACTCACTGGCCAGAGTATTTCTAGATAAAATACTCACCCATCTTCATATAAGAGTCTAGGTGGCACTTAGACAGCTGGTCCAAGTCCATGTATATAGGTTGGTCGTACTGCTCTCTACACTCCTGCTGGGGAAGTGAGTGAGGTGGGTCACATGATACGGAAACGTGCAATGGACACTCACCAACAAAAGTCCTGTCACCTCACCTGTCTCTGAATCTCTGGGTTCAAGAAGAAGCGGGTGAGGTGGCAAGACTTTTGTTGGTGAGTGTACATTGCTAATAACAAGGCCATGAAGAGAAAGGTGGGAAAAGGAAGTAGGGAAGGAGAGTTATGTGCAGTAGAGGTAAAGTACAAAGAATAAGGACATGAAGGAATAGAAGATAAAAAGGAGGGAAGAGATGTGACGGGGAAGTTTAGACAGTAAGGATATGTTAAGAGATACAAGAGAGACAGGAAGAAATAGTCCAAATAAGAGGGAACAAAGTCGTAATCAGTTTGGCTTAAAATATACTTTACGATTATCTGAAGGGACAGAAGTCAAATGTGCATTTACATGTGTCTCTACATCTGTTCCTTTACGTATTCATACCTACAGAAAAAAATCATATTTATCTCTATGAATCCCGATAAATTCCTTTTGACAATACTTTCTTTTACTGTACCTGTGCCGGGTGATGTTTGATTTCAGGTAGATTCCGAAGCCTTGTGGGAGGTGGTGGAGCGGAGGTGGGGAGAGGGGGTGGAGGTGGAGGGCAGAAACCGCGGAGAGGCATGCTGGTGGTACGGGTGACATTATCGTCTTTCATCCACCGCGCATCATTACCACCACAACTATTAGTATCCACACCACCACCACCATCAACACCACCAGTGCCTACAGCAGTTGTTGTCAGGGTCCTCAAACTGGTTAACACTGACGTCAGAGCCACTGTGTGGTTTAGAAAAGTATTTAAGGGCACGTGAAGATAAGACACCCCAGCTTATTTTGCCTGATGATTAAACACAAAAACGCTAACCTAACCAAACGTAACGTAACATAACCTAACTTAACATAAATTAACACAATCTATCAAAAATGTCAATATTGTCAAAATATCGTATATCACAATTTTCCTCCATTAGATGTGAGAATCCACTTAAGAGCTTAATACACTACTAACAACAATATCAATACACTGTACTCGGCTTATATTACACAAATACACTTAAGCTACGATAAACAAGTGACAGGTAATGGTGGGCCACAACCCAGGTAAGAGACATTTAAACGGAGAATCTTTGATCATTCCTAACTTGATTCTTGCCATCTACGGTCAGGTGAGAATAATAAAGGTTAACCGCAGCTCATTGGGCGAGTGGTGAGCAGTGATAGTGAGGGCATCATACTGAGCAGTGATAGTGAAAGCATCATACTGAGCAGTGATAGTGAGAGCATCATACTGAGCAGTGATAGTGAGGGCATCATACTGAGCAGTGATAGTGAGGGCATCATACTGAGCAGTGATAGTGAGGGCATCATACTGAGGGCATCATACTTGGGAAGGTAATGTATGTGGCTCTCTCTCTCTCTCTCTCTCTCTCTCTCTCTCTCTCTCTCTCTCTCTCTCTCTCTCACCTTCATGACTGCTGGGCCGCTGGCAGTCAAAGCGGTCCTGCATCTGCCTTCTCTGTCTATTGCGACTCCGTCCAAGTCTGCGCCGTCTGTAGCTGTTTTACAGAGCAAGGATTCTATTAATAAAAATAAGGAGGTTTCTTCCCATCCTTCTCCTATTCATCTTTCCTCATCCTTCTTCTACCATCCCTTCCCATCCTTTTTCTCCTATTCATCCCCCCTTCCCTATTCACCCCCGTACCATCCCTCCCCATCCTTCTACTCCCACTCCCCACCCTTCTCCTACCCCCCTCTCCTACCCTCCCTCCTCCACTTATCCACCCTCTTCTTCCTTCTCATCCTTTTCCATAAGAGTGCATAATCTCACATGTTTCTTTATTATGGGGGGATGAGAGGAATTACTAACTAAACCTTGTTACGCGCTTAAAGACCTTAGTTGGTGAAGTACATTAATAACACCAGGCTCCCCCAACCTCTCCCTCCTACCCTTCTCCTAATAATAATAACATTCCATAACTCACAGACAACAGACGATTGTGAACAGTAGACACAGCAGCAGTAGTCCCAGCATCAGGGCCACGATCTCCATAGTGTCAAGCAAATGTTGGTGCCATACTGAGGGTGTTTAAGACTATATTGTACAACATTCTCGACATCCATATATATATATATATATATATATATATATATATATATATATATATATATATTGTCTGACAAATTTAAGGATTCATAACATGACCACTCACACACTCCCATTAACCCCATGTTCCCTCCCTCCCATTAACCCCATGTTCCCTCCCTCCCACTAACCCGACCTTCCCCCCTTCCGTCCCTCTAGCCTCGCCTAAAATATTTCCTAAACTCCATAAACGTCTTTGTCCCCTTGGTGAGAGCTGTGTCCCATAATGTCGCTATATGTTTCCTTAAATGTTCGTAAATATTCCTCTAAATGTTCCTAAATTTTCTTAAATGCCCACCGGCCCCCCCCCCTAGCCACGCCCACGGGCATTCCACTTACTGAAGGAGGCGGCGGTGACGGTGACCTTGAACCCTGCACGACCGGTGAATGGCCGAGGATAAAACACACCTGAAGAATACCTGAAGTGAGAGAGATAACAATAACAACAATAACATTAATAATAATAAGAATAATGTCCATGAAGATTGGGTTAAGTTTGGCGAGTTCAGGTTAGGTTAGGTCAGACCAGGTTAGGTTAGGTCAGGTCAGGTAGAGAATAACACAAGAAGAAGAATTTCCTAGGTTAGTGTAACCAAAAAATAAATAAATATAGCCGTAGGAGGGAAATTTACCCTCAATACTTTTGATATACTAAAAATAGAAATACCAAAATTAAAACACCTTTTAAGGTATTTCCACCTCAAGTAGAAATGTCAGAGTGAAAAGTGTTATTTATGGATTTTATTTACATAGACTTGACATAACTAAATTTCAAACTACAAAGATTGGCTAAGATGATTAGTGAAAAACGAGACAATTTGATTAAAGAACCATTAATGGAAAATATAAATAAAAGTGTTTAATAAGGAGAAAGAAAAATGATGGATAAGGTGAGGTTAGGTTAGGTTAGAGGTGAGGTAAGGTTAAGTTAGGTTAGGTGAGGACGATGGTTTAACCCATTGAGGATGATGGTTTAACCTGTTGAGGACGAGGTTAAACCCATTGAGGACTGTTTTAACCCATTGAGGACGATGGTTTAATTCACGATACACTATTTGGACTAAATACTAGTTTTTATATTATTTTTAATTGATTTTTTTTCAGGATATAATGCTTTTATATTCAATAATTATGAGATCTAATAAGACCTATTTCTATCCACCTATCACGTAATTGGCCATCTCTTTCTTGCTTGCACACATTGTGTAAACGGAGTGATGTCTGTT